TCCCTATTGGTCAATTTTGGCTCCAAAACCTCTCAGGGGTTTCTGGGAGTTGTAGGCCCAGCCTCACCTACTGCTAGCCAGGCTCCCTGGGCCTAGTAGGCCTCTGGTGGCACAGCCCAGATCATGACAGCACCAATGTGCATCACTTTGCACTTAGCCACATTGAACCCCATTTGCAACGTTGACGCCCACTCGCCCATCCTCGACAGATCCCTTTGGAGTGCCTCACAATCCTCCCTGGTTCTCACCACCCTGCAAATTTAGCCACTTCACTGCTTACTCCCAACTCCAAACCATTAATAAACAAGTTAAAAAGCATCAGACCGAGTACTGATCCCTGTGGTACCCCACTGCTTACCCCCCTCCACTGAGATTGCCCATTTATACTCACACTGTTTCCTATTAATTAGCTAGTTTTTGATCCACAAAAGGACTTGTCCTTTTATCCCGTGACTATTGAGCTTACTTAGGAGCCTTTGATGAGGAACTTTATCAAAAGCTTTTTGGAAGTCAAGGTAAACTACATCTATTGGGACCCCCTTGTCCACGTGTTTGTTCACTCCCTCAAAGAACACTAACGGGTTAGTGAAACAAGATCTTCCCTTATAGAACCCATGCTGAGTCTGCCTCAATAAGAACGATGTAGACTGTATTGGGCCCACACTGGGCAGAAAGGCAGGATATAAATAAGGTAAATAAGATGGAGAGCAAGTAAGAGAAAGATTGGCTGGTGGACATGGGAGTTGTTAGGATGAGAGAAAGAGGAAATAGTGTGAGAAGGGGTTGCAGGACAAAGTAAGGTGTCCCCACAAGTCCTTGCAGGTTCCCCAGTGTGGAAATGGGCCCAGTTTAGCTGGAACTGGGGATGGTCTTCTAAAGGGAGGGAAGGAAGGAAAGCTGAAGACAGGGGGCTCATAAAGGTAGTTTTGGTTGGTGGAAAGAAGGATGCAGGAAAAGGGAAAGAGGATGTAGCAAGGGACGGGAAAATGAGAAACTCTCTGCAAGCCCTTGTGGGTCTCCCATTCGTTCGGTATGACTACCATTTAATCCCTTAAAACAGCAAAAATATTTTAAACATAAACATGCCTGCATCGATATTCTGAAGACAGTGAGCCTACATAGTGAAAATGGCCATCTTTTTATTCTTGCTTTCTTCTTCTCAAAGGGGCAACTGGCCCTAAAGAGTCAAAAAGATTTTAGGCTCCCACAGATCTGAACAGCTTCTAACCAGGACCTGCAGCTCCTCAGATGTTTTCCTCACTTTTGAATGCTGCTGAACTTTACAGGCATTGCAGGAGGGATCTACTAATTAACCTACAATTCTCCATAAATACTTGAAGAGCTTATAGGGAAGCAGAAGCACCTCCCCTGCCTGGTTACTTGGCAATAAAAATGGACAATATAATCAAAATCTAGCTTTTTAAGGTTATGCATGCAATTACATTTCCAAAAAGAATGCATTAGTTAGGTGCAATTGCCTTGCTAATTTCAGCTTAAATATAAAAGCCTAATAAAACCATTTAATGTTGCTATGAACATCTAGCTAAAAATAAGTACTCTATTTCCCATGCTTATTAGAATATTTCCCAGTGTTATGTCCAAGGCATTAACAAGCACATTTTGAAAGTCTGATTTTGATCATGCAAAAAGCAAACGAGCATATCACACAAGTTCCCTTGTATGTAGTAGGAGGCTGAAATTGAACAATGTTTTGCATACTGAAATGCGGGGTACAGGTGGCAGCCAAGTACTGTTTTGACATGTGTTATTCAAGTGTTTTGCATCCTCTGCCAAAATAATCTTCATTCTCGGTGTGAGAAGCTAAAGCAGATTCATGCACTTAAATCCCTTTCCTTTCACAATCCCCCACAGGCAACAGTGTCATATAGTCATTTTCTATTCCTGAATTTTGGAAACACCCATTTAGTAGCTGTTTCAGATGGCTGCCGTGCTGGCCTGCAGGAAGAACAGCTAGATTCGAGTCCAGTTGCCCCTTAGATGAAGGTATCTGATGAAGGGAGTCTTGACTCTCGAAAACTCATACCCTGAAAATCTTGTTGGTCTCTAAGGTGCTGCTGGGTTTGAATCTAGCTGATGAATTTACTACAACTCCCATATGAAGCAGCCACATGATTACTGAATAGTTTCCATTATGTTTTTATCCCACCCTTCTTCGAGGGATCTCAGGGCAAGAGTGCACTCTTTACCTCTTCTCTATGATCACAACCGCCCTTGCAGGTAGATTAGGCTGAGCATATATGACTGGCTCACTGCAACCTTCACGTGAGGGGGGATTTTGAAGCTGAGCCCTCCAGATCCTAGTTCGTCACTGAGATATTGCTTTAATAGCATAAGGAGAATTCAGATGGTTCTCATTGAAAATATTCCCTACAGTTTTAAGAATGGGAAGCCCAACTAGTTTTCATCAGATGCTATTTCACTAGAGTTGCTATACTGATCTGTTAGGTACCTCCACCTGCCAACCCAAATGCAGAAGCAACCCTAGAGTCTGGTAGAGGAAACAAACATCCCCACTATCTTATTACACAAAAGAAAATCAATGATTTCAATGTTTTGCTTTTGAAAAGGGAATTTTATTTTACAATTCAAACCAATGGCAGGATCAGGTATGTCAGAAACTTGTGGGGCAATTTTTTTTCTGGTGGGGCTGAAGTTCTCAGTGCAGAAAGAAAAACCAATTAGCCAATAGAAAGCTGTTACCAGGATAGATCTCTAAATTGCAAGCTGTCAACCACTTTAAATGACAGTTCTCAGCTGCTGCAAGTGAATCACTTCTGCCAGCCAAGCAGCAGTTCTGATAACAAGCTGGGAGGTGGGGGTGATGACTTCTATAAGAAAGCTAACACTTAGGCAGAAAGACTCTCTTAAAGGAGACCAGTTTCTTGACACAGAGTTAGAAGGGATCCTAGAGGTTACCTACTCCAACTCCTTTGCTAAGTGTGGGAATTAGTCAGCTACAGTACCCCACTCTGCTTAAAGGAGCCCATGCCTTTAAAAATGTTTTTAAATGATTGAAAAAAGCATTTACAGGAGAAACTCTTGTGGGGCTGTGCCTTTAAGAAAGGGGTCAGAGCCCCCAAAAGCCCAGGCTTGGTCAGAAACCTGCAAATTCCCATCTTACTCGGCATGTTACAGCTATCTCTACAGATGAAATACCTTAGCATTCTTCTAATCTCACAGTTAAATCAATGCTAATTTATCTGAGCTTTAGACAGCCACCTGAATGATGGGTCCACTATTCAGAAAGTTCCCTAGAGCTCACATATACATGCCAGAGCTTTCCACTTTCTACCACCTAAAAACAGTTCCATGCACTACACAAATCACTATGGAAACTCAGACTTGTCAAGCATTGTGGGACTTCTGGGAGGAAATGAAGGAAGATGGATCCCCTGCACTCAGACAGCTGGCCATATAGGTTTCCAGAGCATGGCCTACACTGAGTGATTGTTAAAAGATTTAGCCCATTGTAAGCATTTTGTGGCCACTGTTTATTCAAGGACAATACCATAAGCTGCACTAAGATATTTTCCCCTTCAGTAATACCAAAGCAAACCATACAGCATTTTCTTTTAGTAACAGAACTTAAAACCAATAATGTTTGTTTATAAATTTAATTATCAATATTCTGCTATTTGTACAAAAAACATGTTATGTTGCAATGAAAGTGGCAACGCAGTCTTTCACTCATGTTATGTTACCCTCTGATGGTTAAGAGACGACAGCAAGTTGTGGGCTGCATATTTTTGTGCTTATTCAAATGGCTAGAAGAGATTAAAAGCTAATAACATGATCCAAACCTAAAGTCTTTTCCTCATTGTGATGCTGCTGATTAGCCATGTGAGGAAGCTGAGTATTAGAAATGATTAGAGGTCTCTATCTAGATTCTTCCCTGAGGCAAAAACTTCAATGATTGGAAAGCTGTTTCTTAGGTTAGATTCATAAAAATTTCTCAAAATATGTTTTTCCAGTCAGTTTGAGGGATAGTTTCAAATGAAATCTAGAGTCTTAAATAGTTCAAAACATAATCTAAGCCTAGGCTAACCTCTCTTCCCTTTTTACAAAGCTTTGTCTATTATCTGAACAAGCTGCACATGGATATCTGCCTCAAGGGAAACCATTGAGTGTCGATTCATAATGGGGAAAAAATAGTCCAGTAAAGCCCGATAAAGTCAACAACAGCATTTACAGCAGTAATGGTTTATGTCCATTACTTACAAAATGCAGTTAAAAAGGAAAATATGGCAAGACAAACTTTATCAATTTGGTATTCCACTTTGACAAGAGACATAAACCAGTCATAAAGGGGTAGAAGACAATAAATACATCCTTTCAGACAGATTTGCGGGAAGGCAGTGATGCTTATGTTTTTCAACTTGGCTTCGGTGAATACTCCCATGGAAGACAACCACGTTTCTGCCAGAAGAACATCTTGAGAATCATACTGAAACCCATTAATATGATAATATTATTAGCCAAGTATATTTACTCAAAAGATACCAAAGTCCAAATTCTATTTATTAACTCTAAGTTAATCAGTGTGCCATTAAATTATGTACTTATGCAGACTAATATGTAACTCAGTTGTAACAAAAAAAATTCCTAAAATTGCACTCTGTACTTACAAAGCAACATAGGAAAAAGTCAGTGGCAAAGAGCATCCCTCCTGTCAGGCCAGACATAAGAGTGTTTTCCAGCCAAAAAGAATACATGACTCTTAGAAAGACTTCACCACAAAAATAGATGACATTTTGAAAAAAAATTATCAGGAAATGGGGAAGGTAGATAAATTTTTATAGAAAATACATTTCCTGTTCAGTTTCCCATTAATAAAAAGGCACTTCGTATACAGCTAAAATTCTGGTTAACAACGTTGCTCCTGTTAGATACTTTTATACAACCAATGTATTTCAAGTTTACCAATGAAAATACTGATACAAAACATTAGTGCATATTTTTTTCTGTATTAATCTGTTACCTAGTATCTTTTCTACCATTTTTAAAAGTTCCTTAATGCTGAGTAAAATTTACAGTAATTCAGTGTTGACCAGATGACAGTACGATCCCTCATCAAGCACAATGATCGAGTTCAGCTAATTTTCCTGGCATGAAGAGGGACTTGTCAGAAGTGGGCCTGCAGTCTCTTATTTTCTTCACGTAATCTCTCAATTTCAGTTACTAAGCTTTCATTTATAGAGTATCTTTCAAGTAAGGCATGCATTTCATTCTAGAAAGAAAAAAGGAACAGAAAAATTATTATTATTAGAGGAAAAACCTTACAATTCCCAGATCTGGTTGTTTGCATTTTTCACTGAAATCCCAGCCCAAGCATCAAGATGGTCAGAAGTTACAGTAATTCCTGCACAGAAAGAAAATCTATACAGCTTTTGTAAATGCACTGTCCCCCACTGTAGGATGGCTGAACTACTGTCTCAACCACTAGTTTTCCCCTTCACCCTATATACCCTTTATTGCTCTCTTATTTCAAACAAAGCTATCTTGCACCTGCATAAGAACCAGACAGAATAGTCAATTTCAGACAGCTCAAAGGGGACCTTCAGTTTTCTTTAGCCTGAAATGATACAATCTTAGCAAACAGATTATTGCTTCTTATTGTTCTTCTGAGATCTCTAGAAAACCAAGCTATGCAATACATAGGAAAGATTTTTATTCAAATGACTGAGCTGAGTCACATACAATACATGGCGAATTTTTTTATTTAAATGACTGAGCTGAGTCACATACCACAACACCCCTACTACTTTACATTTTTATACATACCAGCTGTGTATGAAACTGCTTGATCATCTCCACTTGCAGATTCACAATGTCGCGATGACAAGCTTCCCTAAGGAAGCAAACAAAAATACATTTTACAATACAGGCTTCACATCATGAACCCACAGGTGCCCCTGTAAGTTTTTACTCTTTGGTTGATCAAGTTTGCTCAATTAGGAGACAACCCAAACCTCTGTTTTCAATCTACTACTGTGGCTGTGAAACGAGCTTTCAAGGATGGATGAAAATTGTCAGAACCATATTCAAAAGAGAGTTCCTGGACTAGCTTACATCCTGAATTGAATAGTGCTGAATTATGCTAGAATCACAGATGTATTACACAAAATGTTTTTGTTAAGAAAGGATAGAAAAAAATATCACAAAGATCTCGCTTTGTGAGAACAGAAGTAGTGTTTATCACAAGCAAAAATCTGATCTGTTTTACTTAAAACACTGGCCACTCTGCTTTCCTGGAGCAGAAACAAAGAATGCTGGAAAGCAGGACATGTCCACTTTTTAAAATCTAACCCTGATGTGGGGCTGCTAGTCCTTTTTCTAGTAACCCTATGATTTTTTTTAGGCTTATCAGAACTGCAGAGGTCCACACAACACTAGTAAGGACTCAGCTGCCATCAAGCACTTTAGAGGGAAAGTTTATCTGATGATTCACAGATTGTCACTGCAGGATACAACACAACACCCCTGATTCTTCACCTGCCCTGCTCCCTGCCTCCTCTACCCACCTACCCTGGGGTAACATTTAAAAGTTCTTACTTTGAATGTAGCCATCAGAAATAGGAGCATCTCTGTCCTCACCAGCAGGAGATGGAGTGGGGTTGTGACTCTGCAGTACATGAGTGTTACCATGAAGGAGGTAAACATCGTGCCCTGCAGAGGCTGATTTTGGCCACATGCCTCCTACTCAAGGGATAGGATGCTGTGGTTCCTACACTTAGACTGCTAAAACCAGTGTGAGCAGAGGGGCACATTCTGCACAAGCTTCAGTATGTCCCATCTCTGAAAAAGCCCTCCCTGGTTGGTAACTTCAAAATTAACATAATTGGGGATCTGGATCTGTGGTGGCTCCAACAAATCTTCCTTAACAATATAACAAAAACAAACTGTATCTGGCACAAGAACTTCCACATGAAGCTCTGAGTGCACGTACCACTGCAATTCTGGAGTTTTACAGGGGCATCTTCTAAAGGCAGCACTCCCTGACTATGAAGACAGCAAGTTCAGTATATTAGACTGCAATACAGAAGGCTGCTAAGTCCATGCAAGTGAACTGGAAAAGAATACAACACACTTTAGTAGTAAGTGAGCTATTCAAATTGAAATGTTTGCCACCTGCTCCAGTGTCTGCTTCTTTTATAATGGCACTTATAAGAGAACTGCACCACTACAGTAGCATTCTAAAGGTTTATAAATCCTGCACTGACTGATGCCAAGTTAAAGCTCAAAGTAATAAGCTGATTAAAATATAGTCAAAATGTCCATTCAACATTATTTACCTGAAATCCTCCAGAGTTTCTTGTATCATATTCTGAATAAAATGAATTTGAACTGATGATAAAGGTGCATTCAATCTGCCGCTTCCAATAGTATCTACTATTTTTTCAGACAGTGAATTCGCAACTCCTGCAGCTACTGTAGAAGTTATCTTTGGACCTATGTAAGTAAGGAAAGAAGAACACAGGGCAAGAAAAGGGAACCTGACAACTAGTACATAAACAGGTATCAGGGGCACACCAAAGCACTCAGTCAAGTGATTTCAACTCATCTGGATTTGCCAAGTGATGAAGAACAGTAGCTTCTATCCAATAATATATCCCTAGAATGCTACTTTCCTTGCATTCCTCTCTGCTCCTTAAGCCCCTTATGACTTCCAGAAAGGTAATTCCTGTGTGGAGAAATAGCTCCATGGTTTAGGGGAGCTGCAGGAAGAAGGGAAAGAAAGTGAAACTGCCTTCTACTATGTTGTGTCAGCACAGTTGCACTCACACAAAAGGAATGAAGGGCAATCTTACCCCTTTCCTCCACTTCACTGTAGCCCAGTAACCCTCTGCTGTTCCTCCATATGGACCCTGCATCCCTAGGAATGATCTTCCAGAGATCATCTGAATGGGCTGCAGAAGCAGAAAGGAAGAACCACCTAGATACAGTTATCTGGTGCCTACTTTATTTCTTTCGGGCGTCAGGCCAAGAACATTCAGTTAATTTAAAAAAAAATTATACTCCATTTAAGTCAAGGGTTGCAGAGTCTGGCTGGAAAGCACATGGAAGCTGAGCAAATGTGGCTTTACTCTGTGCCTGAATGAGAGAATCCTGGAAACTCTTGTGCATGCAGCCTTCAGTTCCATGATAGCAGGAACCCAAGATAGAATATGATTATTATATGACACACAAAATTATAGTGTAAAAGATTAGTTAACTGGCACCCAACTCAGCAACTCGGATGGGCACCAGCCCACTCCCTCAGCAGCAAGCGGGGGAAAGTTTTGCTAACCAGCAACCCCAATTCACCAGGGATCTTCCCCCCACCCCCAACTATGGACATTGCATACCATATTTATTAGCCATCTTGGAAACTCCTTGAACTGACACTCGGGATATAAGTACTTTATATAAACAAAGAAAGTCATTGGCTAGCTTACTTTGACAAAAAGTAGTATTTAACTTACTTGCTGAGGTAGTACCATTCATGGGTGATTCGTATGTCAGTTGTCCCTGAATGTTCTTACTAAATCTCTCTCTGGAATCAGAACTCTTGACTATATTGACCAGTGGGGGACTACTTAGACTTCCAGAATCAGCACTCGAGGAGCTCAACTTGTAAGAGGAGAAAAATCCTCAGTAACTAATAGCTAGAACCCAGTATTTTTAAAAAAAAAAGAATGGGGAAAGGGAGAAATCAAGACAGCACAACTTGTTACAGACAGACTGTCACTGAGCTCACAAAAAGATGCACCCCACTAGCCTACTGAAAGAATAAAAGATACAGCCTGTCATGTGTTGGAACTCTTCAGGCATTCAAACCCACACTACTGGTAATAGCATGCATTCTGCTTATATTGTCATTAAAACCCTTTATACAAAAGTCTATAGCGCTCCTAGATGCAGTATAAATGTAATCATCTGAATGTTATACACACAACATAATCTCTCTTTAAAGTGACAAATGAGTCCATACGAGGGGTGTACAAAAGAATCAGTATTTTTCAGCTTCAGGTATACTGACTCTGAAAAATATCGGTATTTCCCGATATTCCCAAATCCCAATACTGGTATGGTATTCATATTTATTAGTTATTAAATTTCTGAATCACCCCATCCCTGCGTACACAAGAGCTCTGGGCAATCTACAACAGGATAAAACATACAAAAATACAAATTAAAATCAACAATCAATTTGGGAAATACTCAGGTTTGCCCATTTTTTCCGGCTCCATTATACTCTATGGGGACCATTATAGTTAATGGTCTCCATAGGCTATAATGGACAACCGATCTGGGGGTAACTGGGGCTTGGGGAGGGGCTGTTTTTTGAGGTAGAGGCACCAAATTTGCAGCATAGTTGTTGGTGCTTCTCCTAAAAAAAACCCCAAACCCAAGTTTCAAAAACATTGGACCAGAGGGTCCAAATCTATGGGCCCAAGAGGAAGGTGCCCCAATCCACCGTTGTTTCCAATGGAGGTGGGAAAAGGAATTTAAATGGATCGCTGTCCCTTTAAATGCTTTCTCCAAGCTGTGCAACTCCGCAGCGCGTGAACTCCAAAGGCATTTTAAAGTGCTTGGAGACCCTTTAAATGCAACTATCCAACAGACCCGAAAAATCTGGAAAATATTTTTGGATAGCCAGATAAGTAGCCTACTGGCTAACTGGCTGAAAAAATACCCTCAAAATACCAATAAGGTATTTTTGGATATTTTTTCTGCTCGGTTTATGCTGATTGCACACTCCTAGTCTATCCTGGTTTGAAGGAGAGCACAGCTAAAAAAAATTGAGCTTCAAGTTTCATGTGAAAGTTTGCAACATCAATGCAGCCAAGATTTTAAAATCAAACAGCAAAGTAAATGGCACAAAACTCAAAGCGCGTTTCTCTGCTTCTTCCAATCATTTCAGGGTGAATACAATGCAGACTGAATTGTGCAATACTCCCAAAGCACAAAGCTTCAGAAAATGTTGTAGTTTCTGAGCTAACCCACACAGACCAGCTCTGAGTACTGGAAGCAGCAGAGCTCTGGGAAGCTCTCTGACCCCATTAAGCTATTGTTTCAGCAGAATCCCTTTATGCACCCTCTGTAAACACTCCCCCCCCCCCACAGGCTTGTAGGAAGAGCCTGGGTGGGGCTGTTACCAGTCACATAAGCTACAGGAAGTGCAGAGAGCATATAAAAAGGATACTCTAAACTTCAGTTGAATTGAGTGTGGAGCTTCCTTAAGACTGATCTGACCAGGTAAGGTTCCTTGGTCCATTGCTTAGATATACAGCTCTACAGTCTTAAAATACAAAAATTCCACACTGATTTCCACAAGGCATGTGGCTGGCCACCAGTACTGGATACTTTGACCAGATCCAGCAGGGCTTTTCCTCATGTTCTTATCCTAGGATAACTACAGATTGAGAGCCAAGTATTTATCAAATACAACAACATTCTACATACTGAGAGGTAAGAAAAGAAAACTCCTTGTTAGGCAGCATGATTAGGCTTTGGTTATCAGTGGGCCAACACGGGTATCCTCATCTCCTATGGTTAAGAAATAACATCACATGCCACTCCAGGTACCTCCTTGCAATGAGTTCATCCACCTGCCCATTCCCTCATTTTCACGACTCATTATAGTCAGCATTCAATTTATACCCCGCCCTCCCCACCCTGAACCTGTCTTGGCAGGGAGGGCAGGGTATAAATTGAATAAATAAATAAATAATCTACACAAGTATTTTTGCTAACCATATCAGTGCCAAAGCGCTGCTTGGAAGCATGCTTCCAGCTATGGTTGCAAACTGTATTTTTGTGCTAAACATTGGTAGTACAAACACCTAGGGCAGGTGTAACGCTGACTATAGCTAGCTGTGCAAGTGAAAGGAAGGGCAGAATGTATAGGCAAGGAAGAAAAAGCTGAATGGTAACTTGGGGTTAGAACATCAGGACATGCTACATCTGTAGCACCCCTGCATTCCACTGGTATGCGGCAAAAACCAGACAAAGAAAACAAAAACCAGGACAGATGTTATGAGTCACTCACAGTAAGCACCATAAGGTACCTGTTTCAAGTGTTCTCTCAACTCCTGTCTTCCAAGATTTGATTTCCTAGCATCAAGATCCAGATTTGGATTCTCATCCTCCTCTTTAATAGGTGAGCCAACAAACACATTAAGTGGACTAGAATGTACTATTTGCGAGGCAGACCCTGCTGGGATTTTTCTTGAAGGAAATGTGTTGAATTGAGAAAGAAAATCCAAACTTGAAAGGTAAGACTGAAAATCCAAACCTGGAAGACAAATGAAAAAACACATATTTCTTGCAATGCTAATATACAAGATACTCTTAGAAAACAAATTTAACATGCACAGCACATTAATTATTATAAAAAAGCTTTCCTTTAAGCAATCTGACTTACTGCTACTCCCTGATCACATTTCAAGCTGCAGCATACCTGTTTAGCATCAGGCTGGCTCCACTGAGCTACTATTACTGCTTCAATAAAAAGTATATTACAAGAAGTGCTTACCGTCACCCTTTCCTGAAGCATCTTCACTTGTTTTACAAGCTGCAACATCTACAAGAAATCAAAACAATAAAACACACTGTAAAAGAAAGATAACCTATGTAGGTAGAACTTGAAATCATAGTTTTACATGTTTTGGGGGGAGGCATTGGGTTTTAGCCCTTTGCTGTTCAAGTTTTTAAACCGAGAAGGTAAAGCCTAGGGACTTCATCATTTTAAGTAACAATTCTGTATGCACGAGGGACACTGTTACTAGGACATGAAGTGTAGAACTGAGAACCAAAATATAATTATTTTGAAAGTGCACACTAGGGGGGGGGGAATTAAAGTGTTTAGAGCATAAACAGACAATGTGCTGTATCCTTTTCCCCCATTGGTAAAACAGGATGAAGGAACCCCTTTTGAGGATGTGCCGGGATCATGGAACCCAGGTGGACCAAAACCACATGGAATGGATGCTTCAGTAAGGAGGGGAGGGAGGTGAGAGAGGGCAAAAGCTGATACGTTGTATTTTTTTATACACTTTATACACAAAAGACCTGAACAACCAGAGACCTTTCTAGCCATACTGAGGCCGACTGTTATCTTCTTATTCCCAGCTCAGCAAACAAACCTGGTCCTGTCCTGTGCAACACTGTCACTTCACATAACCACATAACCACACAATGAGGGTGCTGAAAAGTCTCCACAGCCATTCATGTTCCTGGCTAGGTACCTGAGGATGCTGGAGATCAGAGTGGAGAATCCCTGCCAGAACATGGTTTACACATTCTTATTCTCAAGGAATGTCAAATTTTAGAAAGACAGGCTGTGTCATTTTAATATAAAGAAGGACTCGAGAGTTATTGTGCTGCCACATGAGATGCAGGGCTGGCTTGCTGCATTCATTCAAAATTTTGAAGCGGTGTCTGAGGTTATTAGGAGATGACTGAGCTCTCACTGACAGTGCACACATCACATTCTGACAGAGGCCACATGCTAGAGATGCTGCTGGAAGCAGATCTTTCCACACTTCCCCTTCTCCCAGCCACCTTCTGTGAGCCCCCAAGAGGCAATGCTGATAGAGTTGGGTGGGCAACTGACAAATGCAAATGCAGGCTGGGAGCAGCAGTGAAAAAGGGCAAGGTCTGGCAAGGTCACCCGCCCTCCCCTATTCCATCAGTAAAAAAATCCATAGGCAAGAACCCAACGCCTTCTCAGTAGATAGCATGAGAAAGAAAGCTTGTTTCAAGTTAGAGGAAGTATGTAGGGAGTTGGAACGGAGCTGCAAACAAGCAGATTTCACAAGCCGTACGCAGCTCACAAGGAGAAAGACTTTACAATAATCTCTTGCTAGTGGGAGAGACGGAGAGAGTGCAGACACACATTAGGCTGCTGCGTTCATGACTGGTTCTATGCTGCCTGCTTTCAGGAGATTAAAACCCTGAAGAAAAAGCTGTGTGCACAGCCCAATATGGTGACCATGTGGCAGCAATATGGCAGCAGCACTGATACCTTGGCTGAGAAGCTCCTGGGATCCATGGAAGTCCTGGAAGCTGGCAGAAGGGTTGAGGATGAGGGAGGGACACCCACCCACCCACCCCACCCCCCAGGTCATTAGCTGCAAGGCTCAAAAACATTCGCAACTCAACACTTAATGCATCGTTGGGTAGAAAGTAAGGCATATGGCTGATAGCACTGCCTTTATATTGGGGGATATTTTCTTAGGCTCGTTTACAGCTGGCATTTCCTCAATCCCTACAGGGACTGTTCTTCACAGGTGGTATTTTGGCATTAATACAGAAAATGAAGAAAATGGCAGCAGCAGGAAGATTTACAATGCTCCCATGAGTTCTGCTAACAATGTGAAATTCAGCAGTTAATATCTGGGAGAAATTCTAAGACTGCTTCCAAATTTTGTGGCTTCTTAAATAAAAGCAGCAAAATGAGTTTTTCTAAAATGTTAAAAGTGTCACCAGCATTCTGGCTCTCTCAACAGTTCTCTCCACTTAAAAAGCTTCTCAGAATAGCTCTTTCATATAAAGCATCTTAAAAATATGAAAGGGTTCCCTACCAGCGCACCACTTTAGAGCTGTGTACACATCTTGCCTGATTCAGAGCTGCCAGAAGAGTTCCCAGGTGACCTTTCTCCCACACAACCACATCCTAAGAGTTGCCTTCCATGAATCTGACTGGGGCAAATCATCTCTATTGTTCACGTGGGTGCACATCTGTGCAGAAATGATCTTGTGCATCTAACAATGAAAAAGACCTTCAAGGCTATTGCCTTCTAAATCAAGAAAAAGATGATAATGCTTCAATATACACTCCACGCTGTTAGAAACATTGTAAGTATTCCATAGCTTAAATGTAGGGTGCAACAGAAGACTGTGCTAAGACTATGGAAAAGGTTCTCACTAGTAACTGCGAAGTCTCTATGCAGATACTACTTACCATCTCGAAGGGGAGAAAACAAGTCACCTAAACTATTTCTCCCCACATCTTCAAAATTAGTTAGATTAGAAGTATTCCCTTGATCAATTTCTTTGGAAGGAATTACATCCAAACTGCTGCTGCGAGGAACTCCTAGAAAAAAGGAACACATCCATTTTCTTGAATAAATGTCTTGTTTTAACAGCAATGCCTTTTTTTCAAAAATTGTTTTAGATTATCAGCACTAGCCACTTCTGCAAACAAAATAACTTCTGTAAATTGAAGAATCCTACAACAAAGATAATGACACAATTCAACACCTATCAGGCGTACATATGAGAAAAAGAATATCTTTAAAGGCTACAAATGTTTACTTGGAAATAAATCCTACTGAAACCAATGAGAAATTCTTCTCAACAAACATGGTTTAGATTGGAATGCAAACAAGAGTTACTGCTTTTACAAATATCAATTTGAAAATAGATAAAAATGAAAACCTTGTTATGGCAATCACATCAGTAATGTAGGCAATAAGAATTACTGATGATCATCATCCACATTCCCAGAACTACTACAAAACTAATCTTCCTTAATTTTATTTACTTCATTTATGCCCCACATTCCCCTCCAGTGCAGACCCAAGGTGGCATTCAACATTCTGCCCTTCTCCATTTTATCCCCACAACCACTCTGTGAGGAGGGCTGGGCTGAGAGAGTGACGGAACCAAGGTCACTCAGCAAGTTTCCATGGCAGAGTAGGGATTCTAAACTGGGTCTCCTAGTCTGGCACTACACCGCACAAGCTCTAAACCTAGCAGTAAGTACTAGTAAGGGATGTTTCATTGTGTCGGATACAACCCCCCCCCCCCATCTTTCCCCATAAAGAAGTGAAAATGCACATGTTGAAGCTTTTTCTATAATTCAAGACACATTAACCTGATTACTTCAATTTAGTAAGAAAGCTTTGGGTAAATTTGTCACATAACTTGTATTTTTGTTGTTGTTCAGTCGCACAGTCGAGTCCGATTCTTCGCGACCCCATGGACAAGATCTCGCCAGGCCCTTCTGTTTTCCACCGTCCTCTGAAGTTTGCTCAATTTCATATTCGTTGCATCTATGACACTGTCTAACCATCTCATCCTTTGCCGTCCCCGTCTTCTTTGACCTTCAATCTTTCCCAGCATCAGGGTCTTCTCCAGTGAGTGCTCCCTTCTCATTTGGTGGCCAAAGTATTTGAGCTTCAGTTTCATTATCTGAAACTTGTATACTTGTATACACATTACGAAAAGGCCAGAGCATTCAGGCTGAGTGACAACATTAAAGGTTGTTCCACAAATATTGTTTTGTAACTGAAAATAGTACCGGCCCCAGTTTTACCAGTGTTGGTAAAACTCCAGTTCCATAGAAAACCACCAATTAAGACAAGACGTTTTACAAGAAAATGTTCTGTATGGTAGGAACAAACTATCACTTCTTCTGTGGACTGAAGAGACACTTTGACCAACCATTCTAAATCAGCAGCTCTATATCCAGGAAGACAAAAGCAGGGTGTCAACACTAAAAGAAGGGCACAGGTCAGAAATCTGAACTCAGCGCCAAAGCAGTGACAGCCATTAATACTGCTTCATTGGGCCTTCCAAAACACAGAACAGCCTCCCAAGGGGCATGACCAGAGCTGCCAACAACAGGCACGGCCACACTCCAGGAGGCAAACTCACCCCATCCTCATAGCAGCTTTGCCAATTTTGACAGTTTTCAACATTGAAACTAGAAGAACACAGATTTCAGGAATTGTTAAAGTTAACATTAAATAGGGCAGAATGGAACACTGATTTTCTCCTTACATTGAGAAGAATGCCATTTTGGCTGATGGGGTCCAAGGGCTCTATATGTATAAGTGATGATGACCAGACTTAAAAAAAAATTCTACCAACATACCATCCTTTTTTATTAACTGGGGCACAAGAATTTCAGCATTTTATAAAGACCAATTAAGTATTTCTTAAAGCTCCGTAGTTCTGCGGGTTCACTGGCATTAATGCTTTACCTGATTTATCCTGAATGGTATCTATTCCTTTACTCTCCACCATCGGCGTAGACTGGGGCAAGAATGTAGCAGGTATATTAGAAGAAACAGCTTTGATCATACCAGCATTCTGATGTCCTGCAGTGCTATTTGCCATTTTGATATCAGATCTTTTGTTTACCTGTTTATTTGAAGATGTTTTGAGACTAGGCTGTAAGAGAAATATGTCAAAAATATTCATTGAAAGAAAAAGAGATTTGCATTTCTTCCTGTAACACTGCTGATGACTCTAACATCAAGGACAAGCACTATTTTTCAAGTCTGTGAAATGTATACCCTGCCTTTCCATTTAAAAGGATGGCTTATAAAAATTCTAAATAGAGAGCAAGCCATCAAAAGTCCAAAATATGAATCACTCTCTAGAATGAAAACTACGCTATTTTATGATATAGAGCCAGTACAGTACTTAAACCTTAACTAGGTACACTCAGATGCCAGTAACAAATCAGTCACAAACAGATCGTGTTGAGAACAAACCAGGAAGTCCATAGGATTATGATTTCTTTCCGTCCTTCCATCATGCACACAGAGTGAAAACTTCCTGGTTTAAAATGAAGAGCTATTCATTGTGACATCAAAATGGGTTGTTTTTTTTAGCAAATTGCAGTTTACCAGGGTTTTAGATGCAGATTAAACCACGGTTCAGAATCCAGACCTACAGGCATGTTTTTTAACTAATCATGGACATCAAAACAAACTGGGGTTAGTTCCAGACTAGAAAGTATCCAGCCCATAGCAGAGGAGGGAGGGTGCGGGCTAACCTGAGGACTTCCTGGCATGTTCTCATCCCAGTGTATGAGAACATTACAGTCGTCATTTTAAAGGTTTCTTGTGCTCTTCAGCTTGCTTTGGATTGTTTTGTACTCTAGATTTGAGTCCTTTATGCACAAAAAATGTCTTACCTTTGAAAAGCTACTACAGTACTGCAGTGCTATACATTTCACAGAGGTTCTGTGAGCACTGACTGACTTTACAGGTGCTGTCAGTTTTCTAAGATCATAATGGTAAATCTTTCCACGAGAAGATCCAATTGCAAGGGTAGTTCCTTCAGGCATGAAGTCTACTGCAGTCAGAGGAGATTCTGCTACCAATGTCCGCAACTGCCTTCATGTTACATAGAAAAATGTTGAAGAAAATATATAGTTTTACATAGAGTTTTCAAAACATTTATTTTTTGTCCTAGCCTTCCATGAGTTCATTGGGGTATACATTTTATCCTCACAAGAACTGTGAGGTAGGATACAAAATGACCAGACATGGGTCATTCAGTTAGTTTCATCACTGAAACCACATCTCTCTGGGCCAAATTCATACAAAATTATTAATTCTGCAGTTCAGAAATGTGCACGTAATAGGTATAATATTAGTAGGAGCTTGCATTCTTCAAGCACAGATGCACTCTTTCAACTACAGGAACCCCTAACCAACCTCAGCCTCAAACTTCAAGCTGGTTCAAAGGGTGGACAGGAAATGAGACTCCTGCAGTCTGTTTCCTGTGTGGCTTGGCTTGCTCTAGTCTTGAGCACCAGCTTCTACTATGTAGTAAAGTTAATTTCCCAAGTTTTGACCACTAAATGTTAAAATGTTTTATTTTCAAGTTCTCCTAGTAATCTAGCTGTCTTTGACTACATACATACCAATTTCTGGAGAAGCACTGTAGCAGTTTTAACATACCTATCAGCAAGTGAGTCATAGCTGTTTTTGTTTGGATAGACAGAAGGTAACTATCCTAATAGCTAAAATTCTACTAGATCCCTAGATATTGTAGACACTTTATAATTTTCACAGCATTGATTTTTTTGGCACATTAAAGTTTTAATCCTAATCATTTTTGTAAAGAAACCCTAAGTACTTCAGCTTGCTTGTACAATTAAAAGAGACTAAATGTAATCTCAGTAAATGTTTGGGGAGACATATACTTACTTTTTACTTGCAGTGTCATACAGAATTATTCTTTTATCCAGGCCTACAGTTACAAGTAGCAGCTCACTGATTGGAGAAAAACAAATTTCATACGCGGGAGCTTTATGAGCATTTTCAAATATATGATATGGGCTTTGACTGTTTACATCCCACAGAGTGACAGTCCCACTGTCAGAGACACTGCCCAACAAAGCCTTTTTAAAGGGGGAATACTTCAAGTTCCGAATGGGCTGCAAGAAAAAAATTAAAAATCTTGGCTAAGAGTTTAGCTCCATTTGTATTTATGAATGTTATAAGCTAAAGCAATCACAGCTTACAAGGTTTTGTTGGTATGAGAATGGACGGAGATTTTAAATGAAGATTTGTACCCAGTAACCTAAGAGGGAGGGCAACAGGACAGCTGGGAATATGTATTAAATGTTCTGGTTTCACTAGCGGCTGCCATTAACAAAAGTTGGATTTTAGTTCTTGGCTATGGCTCAGGGTCAAATTCCACAACAAGCTTGTGCGAACCATTTCAATCACTGTACTATACAACAGAAGTAATTGTATCATATGTGTGAATCATCACTCACAAGCACTTAAAGTCATTTCATGTTATAAAGAATTTACAGCCAAAAAGCTATCAGAATACTGTTCAAAATTTTAGTAAAGGAGTTTGCTATTGAAGTTTAAGCGATATTGGTTAACTCTACTTATTAAAAACAGTTATTCCATAACTTACACAATTTTACATTCAGAACACTCTGTCATTCTTAGTGACAATGCCAGTAAGCTGCTTTTAGCAGAAACTGCTCTAATCAGCAACATACATTTAATGCTGTAAAAAATGAAGTGGGCCAAGTACTTTAGCAATTTTGATTATAATGCAACTTTACTTCCCTTGATAGGTTGATTCCATTGAGAATAACAGACGGTTCTTGACATAACAGTGCATCACAACTGCAGCCTTTCACGTCTAAATTAGGCTTTCCCATTTACAAATACAATTATCTTGTGTACCGAAACTAAAAGTCATTTAAGAAAACACTTGTTGTGTCACAGAAAACCCCTGTTCTATGATTCTGTTTTGGGCAAAGAGAATAATAATTGTTTTTCACAAGTTTACCCAGCATAAAACGACGTTACTCTTTGGAAGGTACTTGAAAAAGGTAGAATAGAGGATGGTTACCAGTTTACACACAAACGTCAGATATGCACTTGTTCACTAGAAAAATTAATCCCCCCCACCAAGCTTATCATTCTTGCACCTATTCATCGACTTCAGCAGCACTGGTAAAAAATGATACTCTTGCTAACTACATGATCCTGAACAATCAGAGACCACATAGCTAGCATGATTACATCACAAGGCTGATCAGATTTGGCTATGGGCAATGTCACATTCACTGTGAATGGGGGAGAGGAGAGAAAAAGGGAACAGGGCAACATTCCTTGTCATCCTACAGTGTGGTGTTTTCACCACAGCGCAACAGGAAGCACTGGCCCAGCTGTCCCCTGCCAACTTTCCATGCCTCTCCTCAAGTCAGCCAAAAGGGGGTTGCTTTTTCAGGGGATTGAATATGTTCACAAAATTGCTCTGCCCTTTGGTTCAACTCAATAAGTGCTCCTATAGTACAATTGCCTACTATTGAAAAGATTGGATTTGACAAAATATCCTGCAGTGAGAAACAGAAAAACCCTGTAAGTGAACGTCAGCATTGATACCCCTTCTTTATTACAAGAACAGCCATTTCAGATGTTTAGTCAGCAAGTCTGCCATCTAGACTTTACTGGAGTGACATCCAATTAAAAAAGTAAAAAAAAATTCAAGCAAGGCATTTTTGCAGGAACAATGGAAACTTTTGAATCCTGACAGAATGCCAAGTTCTGCCTAAGTCGGTACTGCTGAGAATTTAAGACCAGGGGCAATGATTCTACAAGACACCGGGGACCTAAAACTGATTGCACAATGTGCTTCAAACTGAATGTGATGTTTGATACTATTTAATTCTAAATAATTATTTAAATTTCCAAATAATTATTTAAATTTCCAATCTATGAAAAACTAATTTCAGTGTAATTATTATTGGCTCCTGCATGTGTGACAAGTTTGTTCAGCGCTTTTTGGATAAAATTCATATTTAATCAAATTTTTTCCCCACTTTTTATTTATAACTTTTTACATCATACATAACAGATGCCTCGCAAACATTACAGATTTCAAATTATCATGAGTCTATTTTGATAGTTCTTTTCTAACCATTTATAAAACCTATGCCATCTCTTATTAAACACATCCTCGTCTTTAGCTTGTATACATAATGTTAAATGTCCATCTCGGCTATATCCAACATTCTATGTACCCATTCTTCTCTTGAAGGGATTTTTTCTTGTTTCCAATATTTAGCAAATATCATACGAGCTGATGTTAGCATATATGTTATTACATATTGATCTATTTTATTACAATTGTCTGGTAATATATTTAACAAATAGATTTCCGGACACAAAGGTAAATCTATATCTAGACTTTCCAGTATAAGAGTCCATATTTTATGCCAGTATTTTTGTGTCACACTACACCTCCACCACATGTGATATAATGTGGCCACACTATGTTTACATTTCCAACAATTTTTTGAATTTTTTTCATAACACTTAGCTATCTTATCTGGTGACCAGTGCCACCTATAGAACATCTTATATATGCTTTCTTTGTATGGTATTGCTTGTGTATATTGTATAACTTTCCATATTTTGGACCATTCATCTATGTCAATGTTGTAACCAAAGTCTTGCATCCAGGATATCATTGGCACTTTGACTACTTCATCTAGTAAATATTCTTGCAGGAGAAAATTATGAAGTTTTTGGATCATCTTGTCGCTTGAAGACAACCAGATTTTTTTAAATTCTAATTTCGTATCTTGGAATCTAATTTTTTTATCCTTATTGTAGCTAGTTATTAATTGTATATTTTCCCACCAAGTCATTTTAATATTTTGTGAACAAAGTTCTTCCTGAGTTTTCAACCTATTATTCTTATCTAGTAAAGTTTAATATTTTTCTATTTTATCTTTTGTTAGTAACATTGGTTTTATAAACGCTTCCATTGATGAGATCCATTTGGGTGCTTTATTATAATACTGCTCTTTCACTTCCTTCCATACTTTAATTAGAGCACCACGTATTGTATGTTGATGAAAACTTTTATGTATTGTATCTTTATCATACCATACATACGCATGCCATCCCATAACAAGATTATGACCTTCCAGATTTAAAAGTCTTCTATTTTCTAGTAACAGCCAGTCTTTAATCCACATCATAGCTGTGGCTTTATAATAAAGTTGCCAATTTGGTATCCCCATTCCCCCTCTTATATTTAATCCAATTTTGACATTGTTAATTAAAGACACTGAATGCTCCTGAGGTCTCTGTTTAGAGCAGCTTGAGACTTTGGACAAAATTCCTGGAGACACAGAGGCCCACATGACCTTCCCACTGGAGCCATGTCCTTTCTGACTAGTAAGGGGGGCCATCTGATCCCTTTGGTTTTAATGGAAGCAGTAGAGAGATGGCTTTTGACAAAACCATGTACTGATACAGCAGATTATTGATCAAGGCCTGATTTGCCTTTTTGAAGGCAAAATTCATAGGAGGGTGATGACATCACAAAATCAGTTGTTTCTAGATGAGAGATTTTACAGATCCTTTTCAATCTAGGTACTATATGGAAACTACCTTGTTACCTTGATTTACATTAGTCAGCTGACAGGGTAGTTTATCCCTGTTGATTTTCTTTTCTTGGCAGTATTTGATATCATCAATTATGGTAGCTATCTGGACTTCCTATCTGGGTGAGACCTAGGAGGCACTGTTCTGTGTTTCCCCAGGCATTTATAGAAGACAGGCTGCAGAAGACAGTTCTGGCAAACTTCAATTCTGCCTCTCAGCTATTAGCCAATGGGATACTGAAAGGTTCCACTATGTTCCCAGTGTTATTTAATATCTACATGAAATCGCTGGGAAATGATTATTCAGAGATTTGGAGGGAAATGTCATCCATATGTTGATTATATCAATCTCTCTCTCTCTCTAACTTGGTCCTGCTTTAGACCCTTTAACTCCTAAGCAGCTGAAGGACTACTTTTACCCACATGAATCTGCCTAGATTCAGGTACCATCCTGGAAGGAACCAGCAGTCTCTGAAATTGTGAGGACCTGTGGGAGGGCTTTCTTGGTTGTCATCAATAAACTATGGAACTCCCTTCTCAGGAAGTATTACTGAAACCACCATTGTAGACATTCTAACATTCTCTGAAGATATACTCTTCTAGGAGGTTTTTTAAGAAAACGTGTTATGCCTGGGATTCTAGTTGTTTTGTTTTTCTTGACATTTTTGTACTTTACGGTTGGTGGTAGAAAGTGTCATCAAGTTACAGGTGACTTATGGCAACTATGTAGGTTTTTCACGGCAAGAGACATTCAGAGTTGGTTCACCATTCCCTGCCTCTGCGTAGTACCACTGGACTTTCTTGGTGGACTGCCATTCAAGTACTAACTAGGGCAGACACGGCTTAGCTTCCAAGAGCCAGTGAAATCAGCTAGCCTGGGCTATCCAGGTCAGGGCTTTTTACAATTACTGTATCTTATACTGTATGATCTAAGAGCCATCTTGGATAACCCCCCTTGAACAGAAAGGAGGCATAGAAATACATTAAATAAATAAATATCAAACCAAACTAGACATGGTAAACCTAATGTGCAAAATGCTCAGACAGGAAGGACTGTACAGACAGTACTATCTTAAGCCCTGAATCCTCTCACCAGAGCATCTTTGCCTGGTAATCGTGAGAGAGAACAAAAATATGCATCTCTCAGGAATATAGTTCAATTTTCCCTCCATTTGTAAGCAAAGCTAGGACAGGGAGATATACACCAGTGAAACCCAGGGGTGTGCTACCAGGCATTTAAGCTTCAAGAAAAGATAAAAGAGAGAGACTGCTTGATAAAGAACAAATGAGTTTCAAAACCTGCCATAATTTTGAATTAGATGGCTTGGGCCAAGTCTCTTATATTTCATAAGGGCTGGGAGGCAGGGGAGAAGTACACACTGGAGAAAAATTGAAACAGTCTTCTTTATCTGTCCTTTGATGCCCTCATAACTCTGTTATCCCAAGCACCTTCCCTCATGTCTTTAACCCACTGCTTCTATTTGCCTCTCTCATTTTTCTGTTCTTTTTTTTTAACTTATTTTTATTGGTTTTATTAAAGACTTTACAGAATGCAAATAAACACATTAAGCAGTTGTTTTTGTATGTTTTTTTGTTCCACATTACAGTTGTGAATCTCTCTTGCACACACACAGGACAACATCAAAAGTCTAAACAGATGATAGGAAAGAAACCACAACCTTTGTACTATATGGTACTACACCAAGAACTGCGTTTTTCACAAACTGCAGCATGACTGCAATGTGTCCTATGTAAGCCCCATTTACACATAGCTAATTCACCATAACAGTATCTGGCCTCATGTTAGATTTAATCTCCATAAATAAACTGTAAATTGTTGTGCCTTCTATTAATAATCTTCAAGTTTTAAGCCATGGGCTCAAAGAAGTCATCTAATCATTTCTCAGTAGGATGTATGAAAAGTTACAAATGGCAGGATAATCAGCAGTAAAGACAAAAAGTGCAGGAATTTTTATTCATTTATATCCTGTTTTTCTCCCCAGTAGGAACCCAAAACTGCTTACATTGTTCTCCTCTCCTCCATTTTATCCTCACAACAGCCCTGTGAGGCAGGTTAGGCTGAGCAGGTGTGACTGGCCTAAGGTCACCCAGCAAGCTTCCATGGTGGAGAAGGGATTCGAACCTGGGTTTCCCAGATCCTAGTCCAACACTTCAACCACTACACCCCACTGGAAACACACAGAAGGTATCAGTCAATGTAATCTAGCTGTAAGTTTTCTGGTCCCTTAGTAGCGCATCTCACACCCACCCTGCCTGCTTTTATTGCTGTGGTCTTTAAATGATAGCACATTGTCCATCAATAGCTGTCAGAGACAGTTTCCCAAATAAGCCACACGTAAAGCTCAGCTATGACAACTTTATTAGTTCTGCAGTGAGATGGCTTTTTTAAAAAAGAGCAAACTGACTATTAAAAAGAATTTTGCATCAATATAACTGACGGATGATAACAATGAATCAAAGCATCAAGAGCTCTGACACTGGGATTTTGGTTCTAATGAACACAAGGTCTTTCCCATATTATATCTGCACAACGCTAAACCTCTATAGCCTACTGGAAAAAAATTTCAGAGAAAACCCAGCCATATCTGTCAATTATAATTAGCTTTGCCAATGTAACTTTGGAAGGCAGCTTTCCCTGCATTGCTAACCATAATGCTAACAAATGGCTAACGCTGAATGAAACCAATAAGAAGGAGGAGAGGAACAATTACTTCATGTTTAAACCCTTGAATTCTGCATTAATGCAAATAATAGAAATGTGGTCTCTTCCCTAAAGAAAAGTACACAGTGGCTTTTTGTCACGACAATCACAACAATCAGTGTGCAGCCACAGAGGTAGCAATGTGGGACCCCTTGATAAGACCCAAAGGACTTCCGGTGTGCAGGTGGGAAGACACTCTACATACAGCTTCCCCAGTACACTATAAATGTGGAAGCAGAAGATTCAAGGATAATATATTTCTTACTTATAAGCTTTGGGATAGGCTTCCTGAATGCCACCCAAGTAAGGAAGGAATTGATGGATCAGTGGAAAGAACACATTGTCTAACAATCACCCCTAAATAGTGAGATACAGTGATTACTAGATTTGATAAAAGCCATTTTTTCTATATACCATAAAAAGATATTTAAATGACAGAATTGGAAATGCATCACAATGTCACAGATTGTATACCTGCGTGCTACCATGTCCAAATGGAGTGCTGGATAAATTCGTAGTAAGACTATGTAGGATAATTTCACCACTCATGGACCCTGAAGCAATGTAGCAATCATTCCAATTAAATGTTACACAAGTTATTTCATCTCTGTGATCCTAAGAAATAAGAAAACACAAATGCAAATCTCAATTTGTTACCAAGTTTTAGAAGACCTACAGCATAAGTCATAGATCCAGTGGAGTTAGCCATGTTAGTCTGTTGCTGCAAAATAGTAAAAAGTCCAGTAGCAACTTTAAGACTAACAAACTTTATTGTAGCATAAGCTTTTGAGAAACACAACTCTCTTTGTCATATGTGACGAAGAGAGCTGTGTTTCTCAAAAGATTATAAAGTTTGTTAGTCTTAAAGGTGCTACTGGGCCTTTTACTATTCTATGGCATAAGAACTCCAGTCAGAGAGAGAGAAACCTTTAATGGCATAATAATACAGTACATCAAAAATTCAAAAACTAGACACCAATAATTACACACACACAAAAAAAAAAGTGCGAAAAAGGTCTCCACCAAACAGAAGCCATTTGGGATTAATAAAGTGGAGGGAAAAAGAGTAAATCTAAGTTTTACAGTCTCTAACCCTTAACTTCCATACACATGATAGGAACTCAGCAACAGCTGCAGTGATTTCAGGAGATTTGTCTGATAGTAAAAAAACAGAGTCAGGTTCATTGTAAAGAAAAATAAAGAAGAGATTCATTGTAAAGAAGAGATTGAACCTGGCAAGCATAAAAGCTCTACAGTGTGAGCATAAGAACACCTTATAACCACCATCTCAGTTCTACATTCTACCAGGTTTGTAGTACTATAATACTATGACCGTTCCAGGTACAGCTCAGTTTTACTTCCTCTAATCCTTGTTCTTCCTAACACCTTAAGAGTTTCATGGAGTAGCAGCAATGGGAAACACTAATTTTGCATGATCCTTGTTATTTTACACATGGGCCAGGATTTCTCTCAAAGGCTGGTAGTCAGCAAGATCTTATTTAGAATTCTACATACCCCATCTCTAAAAGTAAAAAATCATTCAGTTAAAAGTACTGTTTGTTCTCAACTGTACTGTTTTACAGGTGTGGAGAAATCCCATGATAGCTTGTTCCACACTTAAAATTCTGGGCAGGAACATCTAGTGTATCATAAGCCTGGCTTATGCTGACAAATTCTTCTTACAAGGCAGAGCATTCAGTCATGCAGTGCCTTCCCTGCATTCTGAAGTGGCACAGGCCTCGAAGATTCTGAGCATTCAGATCAGCTGTTAAAAACAAAACATTCCTGCTTATTCCTAACCAGCTGGATGAAACTCCAGAGTCATCAGGGTCATATATGAAAGAACTCTCCAGCATACATAAAGATGCCCTTCTGACACACTGTACTTGCAATACTATTTTCCCCCAGTGTAGCATACACAAAATTATCCCATCTCCCACATAATCCTAAATTTGGGTGTGATTCTAGATGCCTCCCTTTCAATGGAGGCCCAGATCGCAAATGTAGCTAGACTGGTGTTCTACCACCTGCACCAAGTTAAGCAACTGGTCCCCTTCCTGTCTTGCCCTGACCTAGCTACAGTAATCCATGCAACGGCCATCTCCAGATTAGATTACTATAACTCGCTCTATGCAGGACTGCCCTTGAGACTGACCCAGAAACTGCAGCTGGTTAAATCAAATCAAATTTATTAATACGGTTTCTGACCAGCACAAAATCAGTTACAGCAATGTACACAAGTCTTATACATTTTAGAAAATATACTATAGCTAGTCCAGAATATAGCTGCATGTGTTCTTACAGGAACTCCCCTTAGAGTCTGTATCCAACCGGTGCTCTGCCAGCTGCACTGGCTCCAGGTTGAATACCGGATCAGGTTCAAGGTTTTGGTATTAACCTTTAAAACCCTAAACAGTCTGGAACCAGCATATCATTGGGACTGTGCCTCTCATGGTACATCTCCAGAGAGCTTTATACTCCGCAGAACAATACTTACTGGTAATCTCCAGCCCAAGAGACATCCACCTAACCTCGATCAGAGCCAGAGCTTTGGACTGCAGGACTTACGGCAATTCTACATGGCCTGTAAAATGGAGCTGTTCCGCCAGGCCTTTGGTTGAGGCAGTGGGTGTCTCACTATATTTGGCTTCCCCTGCTCTAACCACCACCACCCTCCCCCAGCCTATGCTGTTTGTTACACCAATTTGTATCTATCATAGGCTGGGGGCTGGCCCAAATTATTACCCTGATGGCCCTTCCTGAGTTACACTCAGTTATATACCTGAGGTCTAGGCTTTACCATCGCGCCATCACGTAGGTTTAGTTGGGTTTTTTTAAAATTTTAACTTAAATTATATAAATTGTTTTTATGTGTTTGTTGGTATATCCTACCCCATCCTGAGCCCACTTGCGGGGAAGGGTGGGATAAAAAGCAAATAAATAAATAAATCCCCTGAAGTGCACTGCACTCCAGAAACAATGACGTACTAGTGATCCCTGGCCCAAAAAGTGTCCGGCTTTCCTCACCCAGAACCAGGGCTTTTTCAGCCCTGGCTCTGGCCTGGTGGAATGCTCTGCCAGTTGAGATCCAAGCCCTGTGGGATTTGATACAGTTCTGCAGGGCCTGCAAGACAGAGCTGTTCCGCCAGGCCTATGGTTGAAGGCAGCAACAGAGTCCATTCTGAATTGGCCTCTCTTCCTTCCTCCTTTCCTTTCCGCTTTCCTTTTCCTTTCCCCCTCTCCTTCTTACCAGATTATTTCTAGGATATTTATTTCCCTCCCAGAATAAGGAGCACCAGGTTGTGCTCCTTTTATATGGCATCTATTAGTTGTTGTTGTACTGTAGAATTGCTTAATATTTTAGCTCTATGGATTGTTTTATGAATGTTGTTACCTGCCCTGAGCCCTGTTATACAGGGGAGGGTGGGCTATAAATCAAATAAATAAATAAATACATTTTAATGTTCCTAAAATGTCAAGGCATTCTCAGACAACATTACTTTAAAGAAAAGCTTTATTACCATATGGCAATTATAAAGCTAGAAAGCTTAACATTAGCAGTGAAACCAAGTTCCATATTTATAGTGGCAAAGAATACAGGAATTATCAAGAGATAAAAAGGATTGTCTAGTAAAAATAGAAACAAGTAAGGAACTTAGCCACAACTGTATTTTGCTACTTCAATGCTATTTTTTATGTTAGCTTTAGAGAATCCTGTACTTTAATTATCACACAAAAATATACTATTACCGTGATTGAACTGTTACTTTTAGCGGTGTTTCAGTGCGCACAACATACACCCCTACTGGCAAGGGCTTCCTAATCCACCAGGGGGAGGGGAAGAATACAGGGTACACAAGGGGATGAGAACAGTAACTAATCGTTTATTGTCCACATTTAGAGATGCGGTGGAAATATTAAATTCCCATACAACTGAGAAAAATGATGAATTCCTTGAATATTACAACAGTCTCAAAAGGCTTTAGGATTCTCATTTAATACTATAATCTCAAAGTGCACTGTCAATACTAACACCTTTCACATGAATTAAAGTGCCTGAGCTGAAATTAATTATAAGAGTCTAAAATCAGAGGATTTGAGATCAATTTAAAAATAAATTAATAGACAAAAGGAAGTTGGTTACCTTAAGAGATCTGTAAAGCTTTCGGTACTTTAAATCCCAGATATTAACCGTGCTATCAATGCCTCCACTTGCAATATACATTGAATTGGAACTGAGACTTACACATGTTTGTTTTGCCTGGTTACATAAAACAAAATTAAAACAACAACATACCAGTTTTAATATCACAGGAATTAAAACAACAATCTTAATCAGAAGCTTGGATCCAGACTAGATGTTCCTGCAGGTAAGGATTTCCAACCAAGGAGTGAGATTTTCCCACCTCTCCAGCAGCCTGCAATGCTCCCCCATCCTATGGGGAGAGAGAACCCCCAGGAACAGCATTTCAGGAGGCATTTTTGGATGGGGGAGGCATGATAATGATGCTCTATGGGCAGCAATCTTTATGCCCACAAAACATTTGTCTGAATCCAACCCAGATCAATGGGAGTTTTGCAGTCAGTTCCAATGAAGTGTTCAATGCACAATATTATTCTGCTAGTACCATCCGGAGCCAGTGAGGACACAGAGTTGTGCATGGCTTGTGGAGAGAGGAAGCAACAACCTTATCTAGCATGTGATTTATAACTGGCATACAGTAAGGTTAGAAGATATGAACAATAGATTTTTATGAATCTGAATCACTCGTGTAACTTGTTGGCAAATGATACATTCAGCATCACAAGAATTAAGAAATACTTTCATCTGCTTGCTCTACAAAGGATACTGCTTATTCTTTAAATGAGAACGGAATGATGAATACAGTGAATAATCACAGAAGTAATAGGCTGTATCCAAACGGCTTTTAACATAACTGGTTAGTCATGTTAAATAATTTAGAATACACTTTTCTCTCAAATGACTAAAGGGCTACTGTATAGAAACATGAAAAAAAAAAACCTCACTCACCCTGCACATTTCACACCACTTCCAGGAGCACAAAGATAAACAATCCTGTACAAAATTTGTGAAGAAACTGCTTTCAAATCAGCTAAAGCTACACGTAATTTTGAGAAGGAATGTGATCTTTGTGCATGAGACAGAGGAGAAGAAGAAGAGATTGGATTTATACCCCGCTCTTCACTACCCAAAGGTGTCTCAGAGCGGCTTACAAACTCCTTTCCCTTCCCCTCCCCACAACAGACACCCTGTGAGGTAGGTGGGGCTGAGAGAGCTCTGACAGAAACTGCTCTTTTTCAAGGACAGCTGTGCCAAAACTATGGCTTGCCCAAGGTCATCCAGCAGCTGCAAGTGGAGGAGTGGGGAATCAAACCCGGGTCTCCCAGATTAGAGGCCACGCACTTAACCACTACACCAAACTGGCTCTTATTAGCATACTGACTTTGTGAAGAACAATTGCAAGACTTTCAGATTAAGTAGTTTGCAAGACTGTTATTTTGATAAGTTTTGCTATATTAGCTCACAATACATAGCAAACAATATAGTAAGCACAAATCAATACCAAAAGCCCTACAATACGGTTGGGAAGAAAATGCCACTGTCCAGCATGGGACATATACTGAGCATTACGTAACATAATCTCTTGTAGCTCGTTCACACCAGGAACATTAATAGCTTAACTGTCCATCATTGCTCATTAGCCTTGGGCATTTGCTAACTAAAAGTAGTTCCAAGACAGGTAACAAGTTAAACCAGTACAACACAGGAGCTATGCAACAATAAGAACAAGCTCAAGTTTTTGCACTCAGAATTAATATAACTTTAGAAGTTTACAATTAGTCAGCTGAAGAGAGCCTTCAGCAATCTGCACTTTTATGAATAAGTCACAACAAACATTATTTGAGTCCAGTGGCACCTTTAAAACCAACAAAGTTTTATTCAACGTTTGAGCTTTTGTGTGCATGCACACTTCTGTGTCTGAGGAAGTGTGCATGCACACAAGTCACACCTTGAATAAAACTTTGTTGGTCTTAAAGGTACCACTGGACTCAACCTTTGTTCTACTGCTCCAGACCAATACGGCTACCCATCTGACTCAAACAGTATTGTTATTACTAGCCTATATTATCACGTATATGTATATAGATGGTAGATGCATTGGGTAACAAACACTTTCTGCACAATACTTCGTCAAAGCCATGTAAATCTTAAGCAATATTATTGGATATAGCCTTTTTTAAATTACAGATCCTTTGATCCTAAATTAATTACATAGGAAATTCTCTTTTAAGGTCCCTGAGGGTTCCTTTTAGCCTTAGGATCAAAATATCGGGGGGAAATTAAACATTCACACAAGAGAGAGAGAAAAACTATCAGTCCAAGAAACAAGACTCTTTCACTTACCCCTTCAGCTAGTTCAAACAGTGGGACCGGTTTACCTTTACAATTGGAAATCACTATTTTATCACCAAGAGCAGATGCGGTGACCAGAAAGTTATCTGGAAACAAGAGTTATGGACCATAAAAGGCAAAACACTTTGCACAATAGTGGGCAACAGAAAGAATTTGCCCCTTTAACTATATAGATTAGCATAAAGTTCAAAACAGAAAGCGATGTACTTTCAGGACAAACAGCAGGTCTGAAGAATTACACAATTGCTTTTGGCAGTGAACTGAAAATATAATAGGGATGAGGAATTATTCCGGCTTTGAAAGAACCAGAATGATATACAATTTAGTACCTTGTCCTATCAAGAGATAAATTCCCCTTTGCCTCCATTCAAAGCAGAGTTAATGATTTTTAAAACATTTTCCCCACAGAACAGCATACGCTAGTCTTCTCCCTCACATCCAATTTGTTCCTCTTGAATATATAGATCTTCCCAAAATTTCAAAGCAGTGTTTGCTGCTGTCAATAATCTTGCAGTTGGAATGAAAAACAGTGTTTGCAACAAATAATCCCTTGAACGACAATGGTAACTGCAGATCATGCCAATCAGAACAAGGCAGTAGATAATTCAGATGCCACATGCTTGATCTTGCAAACCACAGTCAATGTCCGGAACAAGTATGTCCTGTAGACTCTCACATTCCTCCATCTCTCAGGTCTTCCTTTTTGGATACGCAGGATTATTATTTGTTGTTCAAACTACGATTAGCACTAACCATGAATTACTGTCAAACCCTGATTTACAAATAGTTCTTTGCTGACAAATCCTGGCTATTACTACATAGCTTGGCCAGTTTTCACATCACAGCAAATTATGGTTTGGAGGACTGGGAATATAATGCCTGAACTGAGATAGTATATCCCCCACAACCCCCCAAGAATCATTCAGTTAGGCAACATTAATCATACCTTGAACATTTCCCTAGGGCACTCCACCCAACACACACACAATTTCAACTATAAGAGACAAGCCAGAAACTGGAAATGGAACCATTGTCAAGCCACATGAACACAACTAAGAAAATTGTATCTCATGTGGGGGCATTACATCTCATTGTATTCTGTACAATACAGATGATAGCAGTTATTTTAAATATTATGAAACAACTCCATTAACACCACAATAGCCAAAAAAAATTGTGTTCCACTGCCATTTTTAGAATAAGGTAAGAGTCCTGGCTCCATAGTAGACCAATATCTCTGCAGATTTTTTTGCTTCCACAATACTGCTTAGCTTTCAGGCCATCCAATGGTCTGCTGGGCTCTTGCTTGGACCTGTTCCACAGTTCCTGCACATAAACTGGGTTAAATGTACCACTATGTTCAGAGTCTTCAGGTATGAACAATGCTGAACAATCACACAAAACAGCTAACGCTGTGTCATGAAGGCTTTCCTAATAAAAGCAATGATCTTTAGAAAGGGACGTAAGAGCTGTGTACCTTAAGAGCCTGGCTTACGGTGCAGTGGATTTTGTATTCATCCTACTACAGTGCAAAAAAAGATAACTTTCTTATCTAGACTTTAGCTGTTAGTAAAAAAAGATTTATGTTCCTAGCAATAATTCATAATGATTGAAAACAAATCAGAAGTAGTATCTTTTAAGAGCCCAATCCTAGGCAGAGTTGGAACACCTATACCAACTGAAATAAGGGAGCTCAATCAAGCCTAACTCTGCCTAGGATCAACTCTGCCAACAATGATGAGAAAGCTGCAATCTGATCCCCGACAACTAACAATATCTACTTAACAGCTCAAGCATACTACAGTCACCAGAAATTTTTGGACAGTTAGAAATATGGGTGAATTCAAATATGTTCAAAGTGGGTTGCTGCTACATGACACTTCTATGTGGCAAGGAAAAACAGGATCTAAGTTACCAAATGACAGCTACAAGAAAGCACAGGACTGCCTGCCACAGAAGGTTTATTGAATTTGTGATGGATCAGTGGTCCTTTCCAAATTATTCTTCTGAGAACCTTTTATCCTTACCACAGTTAGCTACAAAAAGATTTTAAAGGCATAGAAAACTTCGGTCAGCAGTGTAATTTTACTTCATTTGCATTCAGGGTATACAGTAAAAATTACATGCAGACAACAGTGATATTTGCTGCAATATACAAAGACTACACTGTTGTTTATTAGTAGTCCCATGTTGTGAAAGGAAGGGAAAGCCAAGTATTGAATAGACAGGCCAGCACTGTACTTCCCTTTCTGCAGCCTCAATCACTTTACACTTCTGACTCCATAAAAAATGCAAGCAAATACAATGCAAGCTACAAGAGAATATGAACCCCAAATCAGGGGGCCAGTAATATGTGCACCACAATGAACAGTTGGATTTAAACTCAGCACTAACCTGGCTGTGGGGTAGAGGTGACCTCAGTTACAGAGAACTAGATCATAAATACAGATAAACCACCTGATTGCTTGTCAAATGACAACATACAACTAAGCAGGTAAATATATACTTTAATAAGAATTACATTTCAGGTGATGTGAGGGAGCATGGAAATTTTGTGACTTGGTCTTATGCATGTCATCATTCAATGCTGCTGGCAGCAAGTTATGTGCACTAGTAAGTTGTAGTTTCACTAATCATTACAGGCACAATTTAAAGTCCCTGTGTTTTGGGTCCAACATGGAACACTGCACATGCAAATACCTCTTTATCTTTTCTATGTCTGAAGCTTTACAAACACATTGAGAAATTTCCTCTGCATACACAACACTCCTCAACGCAGAGAAAGTAAGGCAGCTTCTACAAACATGGAGCACAAAGTGGACACTAGCAACCACAACAAATAAGAAGATAGTAAGATAAACTAGAGCAGTAACCATGAAGTTAGTGTTTAGGGTACATCTCATGTAAGAAGTTCGAAACAGCGTGCATGCACAACCTCCAGGAAAAAAGGTCTGCCACTCAGAAGGCTGTACAATAAGCCACTTCAAGCAGAGATCGAAAGAGGTAAATCTGCCATTAGCATTGTACTATGGAAAAACAGCAAACGTCTAATGGCGGCTGCCCCTCCTGATTATTTCCAAAGCTGAAGTACCATCCAATTAAAGACAGATTTATTTATTTATTAGTTTCACTTTTACCCCGCCCTCCCCGCTAGGCAGGCTCAGGGCGGCTTCCAAGAACTGACAAGCAGTATACATTCATAATAGATTATAAAACATCAATTAAAACACAGCAATCAATATAAAACATTCATTAAAACATTCATTAGATGGCGATAAAACTAAGGTGCAATTTAAGGACACATTCGGCAGTACCACCACATTGGATCATATAGGATCGGAGTTCACTACAGGGCGCAGCTAGTAAAACGTCGCTCCTATCGGAATGCCTGCCTGAAAAGTTCTGTTTTCACGGCCCTGCGGAACTGTGACAAGTCCCGCAGGGCCCTGATCTCAACAGGGAGCTCGTTCCAGTAGGACGGAGCTACAAACGAAAAAGCCCTCGTCCTGGTTACCATCAACCTGACTTCCTTAGGGCCAGGGAGGGCCAGGCGGTTTTGGGATCCTGATCTCAGTGCTCTCTGGGGAACATACAGGGAAAGGCGGTCCCTCAGATAAGCTATTACTACCACAGGTACTTATATTTAATTACAAGTCATGATTGCTGAAGAAATGTGAAGTTCTGTTTGTTTTTTCACACAAAAAAGCTACCCAGAAGTAATCAGATTGTCAAAGGGTTATTTGAAGCAAAGACTGCACACTTCAGTGGAAATTGCACCTGTGAAATACATTCAGTTACTGGATAAAGTTTAACTTCTGGATCCTTTCTCATCACTTATACCTTCTATTCTTGCTAGAGCTCAGATGCATTTGGAATTGTGACTTTTCTGCCATATATGCACAGATGTTTTCCTATTAACAACTGATGAAACATGGACACTATTATAATAAATGTGTCTTTATGAATATGAACACTCCAGGTTCTCAGTACTTGCGCCTACTGCAGGACCTTAAAACACCACAATGTAAATTTATCTAGACTAAAATGAAGAATTCAAATCAAGGGCAGCTAAAGATTATCAAGTAACAAATAATGTAGAAATACAACTACACATATAAATACATCACATGAAATGGCAAGGATACTATTGCTGCCCCAGCACACAGAGCTCACTGGATGTGAGGCGCTATGTGGACTGAACTGCTCTACTACAGTTATAGATGAGGAGTCCCATATTTTAACATCATCATCTCCTAGCAAAACGGATGCTTTCCTGCATGGCTGCACCTGTAGGCATGGGGGGGGGGGAGGAAAAAACAGTATTACTACAGTTCAGTTAGAAACATATTATAGGCCCCAGTCACACAGGCCGGATATCGCGGGGGGGAGGCGTGGCGAATTGCCCCGGCGCAGTTTGATCCGCGATTATGCGATCAGACGCGCTGGCTGCACACCACTGGTCCTTCCCTCTGCGCCGGCGGGTAAATGAGGGACCGGAGGGGAATGCCGCGCACCGGCGCAATCACACCACTGGCGTCTGGAGGCAGCCCATGGCAAACATTTACTAGTACCTTGGAGGTACTAGTTTTTTAACTCGCATTGTCGGCGGTAAGCCATCGGTGCACTCCACTTCCCAGATGTTGGGGTGTGATCGTGCCTGGATAATCCGCCCACCATCCGTGCCTCTTCCGCGGCAACTTTGCCATGTGACCAGGGCCATAAATTATTTTATGTGGTAAGTATTCTTAAGTTATCTGTTTCTTTGAAATACAAACATGCCTCATAGAGCTGACATGAGGATAAATAGGATTACTCCTCTGTACAGTAGCCTCATGTCCTTGGAAGAACAGGATATACGGATAATAATGATTTAAAAACTCTATATGTTAGCATCTTAACAATTCCAGTACACTGTAAAGATTACCTCTAAACTTCCAGGCATATTTTAGGAGTGGGTGGGTAAATGCAAACTGCAGGATTTTTATAGATTTGCATGACAGATAAAAGATTACTTAAATGGTCTGCGGCCAACATGCCTTTGGGACTGCCTCTCCTGGCACACACCCCCCCCCCCGAAGAGCATTACGCTCTGTGGAGCAAAATCTCCTGGTGATCCCTGGCCCAAAAGACATCCAGCTCTCTTTGGCCAGAGCCAAGGCTTTTTCAGCCCTGGTGCCGGCCTGATGAACTCCCTGCCTAGTGACATCCATGTTCTGCAGGACTTGGTGTAGTTCCACGAGGCTTGTTAGACAGAGATGAATCATTTTAAAAAAATTAACAGATGCTGTTAGGACAGTGTAATACATTATTTGGTTTTATCCAGACCTGAATTCTGACATCCCAATCCAACATATTCAAAAGCAAGTTCAACTATGTGTGCATAAGATTAAACATAATAATACTTAAATGTCATTATCTGGTGAAGTAAATTGTCTGGATGTGCCTCACTGTTGAAGCTAAGTAGGTAGGGCTCTGATAGCCCCTTGGATGGGAGGCCATAGTCAGAACAGGATTCATATACAAGTGTGCTTGTGCTTTCCTCAAAGGCAATATCATTTTAGAAACTTTGTAATTTAGAATCCAATAGGGACACATGTAGTACGTTGAGACTGCCTAGTCTAGTCGATTTTTAATTAAACCATAATCGTGACATACAACATTAGGCAGGAGAGGGATCCAGTCTACTTTCTGACACTATCAGGACCCAACTTAGTTACCGAAGACAAACTGTTCAATCACACGACCCGAGGGGAGGGGATATTGGACTACTTCTCATCGTGGACCAATTTGCTTCTATTAACTCCCGAGAAGGCGGGAGCCCTACTTGGGACACGCTAGAAACAGAGAAAGGCACCCGAGGAGACCCTGGTCGCACTTCCCACATGATCGCAAGAGGAGGAGCTGTTCAGCCACGGCTGTCAACACAGACCCTCCGTACGCCCCCCCCCCCACAAAGGTGCACAAACCTGCCAATTGGAGGGGGGGTCTCCTCACAGAACCACTGCGGCAAAAGACCAGCCGCCAGGTAACACGCGCGCGGCACCACAACAACGACGGACCCCGCCCCCCCCCCTCACCTTCCCGATTGGCCGGGAGACCCCGGAATGGGGCCCTCTACCCAGCCTTACTCATCCCTCCGGCCAATGAGCAACATCCCGCCCTCCCCCCCAAAAAAACTTTCTAGGCACTTTTCTCCTCCTGGCCCCAAAGCGCCACGAACTCCTCCGAAGGGACTTTCTACGCTTCTGCCAACTTAGCTGCCCATCCCAACAGCCCCCTCGAGAAATCCAGAGTACGGCGTCCGAGGAAGGGCAAACGAGAGCAAAGCGCGCTTTGTTGCTCCCTGTATGAAGAAAGAGGAAAAGGGGAGGAGCTTTAATTTAAAACGGACGGTTTGTGTCACGTGCCTCTTTTCTCCCGCTGAGAAGAGGGGAGAGGAAGGCTTGGCTTGAATGCTCCGCCCCTCTTTCAATGAGCGCTTCCCAAGAGTTTAGTTTCTAAAGTGACCAGGAGTCGCTGGCTGCGCTCTGGGGATGCTCAGATGCGCCCCTTTCGCCTTACTTCATATTGCTGCAATGCCCGTCGTTCTATTGAGAGGTCACTTCTGGGGGGCGGGGATGCGTACTCTTCGACGGTAGAGTTGCTTAGTGTTGGATCACCCGCAGGTTGCGTCCCAAGCGCAGCTCCACCTTTCCCGGCGGGCCGCACTGTGGGAGGAGTGCCTCGAACCTGCCTGTGACCCAGCCTGAGGCCAGGGAGAACTCTGCCTCGGTAGAAACAGAGCTGCTCCCTGGAGAGTCCGCCGCCTCGGAAGACAGAACTGAAGCAACGGGACTCCGAACAGGGGCTCTCAAGCGAAGCTGCTGTCATTGCCGTGGAAGAGAGAGGCCTGCAGGGGCCTTCCAGACTCAGCAGTGGGCCTTTGCCATTCATCCCTTTCCCCGCGCTGTGGTAGAACGAGACCAAGGAGCGGGGCGCTTCGAGACTGGACACCCCGCGGCCTCCATCTGAGAACGGCATCTGACAGGGGGAAAGCTAGGAAGGGATCTCTAGTTTAGCATAAGCTGAGGGCTCTTTGGCCTGCTCCGCCCAAGCATCCTTGTTCCTGTAATCTTTGGCTTTGCGCTTTCACAGACTTCGCTTGGCACCAAACCAGTGCAGGATATCACAGAGACGTTTTAACTATTTTAATTGTTTTCAGAGTGACTTTGTTTCAAAATATTTTGAAGAAAAATTGCATTGGTTCAACTGTATTTGTTCTTGAAAGGTCTTTCATCAGTTTGCTTGTCAATAAAGCAAGTGGCTTTGGTAGGACACTTTTACGTGTTTATTGCACAGCACAAACATTTAAAATGTTAACAGCGTTACTGTATATTTTTCCAGGGAAAGGCCAGGAGGCAACATTTCTTTAGTAAAGGGACCTTACTGGTGAGGAAAGAGTACGATAATCGATAATACTTTTAGTTTTTCCCCAAACAAGTCAAATAACATTGTAGTGTGCAAAACAGGAGTGATACCACTCAGCTGGATAATTTCCCCATGTCTAATGTGAGGAGACAGGTGCCTAAATGCTTCTGTATGTTTTCTTGCTGAGGGAATGATGTTCCAGAATCTGGACGCTGAGTTTTCTTCTAGAACTTGCAGTTAATTCTTAATCATGGATTTATGACAGCAACATCGGTTGCTATGGTTACAGTGTTGTCAAAATTTCAGCATTACAATTTTGCAGCAGTGTTGAGATGTGATGAAATACTAATTTCATTAAAAATCTTAAAAACATGTTTAAAAACAAATTTGCCTAGTATCTTATGTACTTTTAATATAGTTGTAATAGGTACAATGCTGACAACTGTACAAAGCAAGCTTTTCTAAAATAGGATTTTATTTAATTGCTAATATACCTTTTAATCTGAGGTTTTCAAATGTATTTAGTAATTAAGACATGCAATGTTCCTGAGAAAGTAGTTTTAAACTGGGGCCTGTCCGTTTTGCTTATGATGCATAAACATTTCTTAAAGTGCCTTTCCAAAAGAAGGGATTTTTTCTGCTATCTTTTTTATGTTGACAGTGTCAGTTATTTGATCCTTCTCACAGAGAAAAGCACCAGAGACAAGTAGAGGGACTTTTATTTTTTTCATTTAGTTTTTGCTGAATCTTCTGTAGTACTGAATCTTCTACTTCTTTGCCTCTCATATATTTGAGCTGAATTGGTTCAATTTTAAATAATCTGTTTTCCATTGAAGCACCTTAAATTATTGATTTTACTTAATAACCTATTAAACAGAAACCCAAGCTTACTGGACGCTTCAAAACTAAGGGATTCTTGCAAGAGATATGTCCATCTAATCTTCAGTAACAGTTTCCATGTGGCAACCTGTTGCAATCCATGTATACCCACTTCTTGCATATATAGCAACTATAGCATATATATAGCAACTAAGTTCTATATGTCTTAACTACAGTGCATAAAATGATCATTTACATTATCACTGAACAATCTAATACAAGGATGCTTTCAACCTACCTGCAGTAAACACTTGACTGTAATTGTTAAAGTATTTTAATGACCATATCAATTGTGTGAAATAACTGGGTTAGGACTAACATATTAGGAAGTTTAGGTTGACCTGACAATTGGATGTAATATGGAAATACCAGGAAAAGAGCACAGCAATCCTGTGCTGTGCCTGTGCCGCAGTGGCTGGCCATGGTGCAACTGTGGCACTGCTAGTAGCCTCTCAAAGGGAAAAGTTACACAGTGGATGTGTGGTTGCCCCCTGCTCACCAGTGGCCATGCTGTCCAGCAGGGCACCCACACTGTGTCACTCCCGTACCACCCCGGCTGGGACGAACAGGGTTGGGGGTGAAGGAGGGGCACAGAGGGATTCTAAGAGGTCTCCCAGCAGCCTCTTGATGCACACCTGACCCTAACCAATGTCCCTTGCGACACAAAAAGCCCCTCCATGTGCCCGGCAACTGCTGTCATGGACACTGCCAGGCCCTCCATCCATTGCTGGCCCCTGGTGAAGACTTTCCACCGCTCGCGACAGTTCTCCAACCACTCCTGCTCAATTGCCACCCACATGGAAAAAAGCATGGGAGGGACTGGGCCAGAAATGGGCCCCATGCCCTGAGACCTGGCGAGGGTCCAGGATCCCCCCTCCCGTGGGCCACCAGCAGCCATCACACCAGGTCCAAGGGAAGCTGTCCCACCACTGCTACCTGTTCCATCCCCCACTTAGCAGCAGAGCAGGACTACTACCATCTGAGGAAGCAGAGTCCACTCTATTGGATTTATACCCTGCCCTTCACTCGGAGTCTCAGAGCAGCTTACCCTTCCCCTCCCCACAACAAACACCCTGTGAGGTAGGTGGTGCTGAGAGAGCTCTTTCAAGAACAGCTCTGACAGAACTATGGCTTGCCCAAGGTCATCTCATCCAGCAGCTGCAAGTGGAGGAGTGGGGAATCAAACCTGGTTCTCCCAGATTAGAGTCTGTGCACTTAACCACTATACCAAACTGGACATCTCAATTTGAATGGCATGTCCAATCACCTGCTCTATGGCCATGCACTAGAAGGCATGGTGCCAACAGGTGATGGAACTGCTCCTGGTGATAGGGCAACACTCACATTTTCCACCACCAACTTGTACAGCGATGCCTTCAACTCCACAAGATGTGCCAGCTGCCATGACGGCCACACACAGGTGAATGCAGAGGTGAGCCAACCTACCGTGGGAAGACACAGATTCCCCTTTTCTGTCCTGCCCCTATGCTGCTGCAATGGCCATGAACCAACTGTAGGGGCCCACAGATGGCAGGCAGCAATTCACTGTGAGAGGGAATAGGAGATAGGACTTTATTAAAGGTAGCCAGTGCCGGCAGAGTAGCTGGATGGGTTCTCATTGCTTTCGGCTGCGAACCCATTCAATCGGCCATTGGTAGGGACACCTCTTCGATGGTCACACAAGGGGGAGACTTGGAGGTTGGCTGGTTCAGCACTCTTTCGAGGGCTGACTTCTGCTGGGAGAATGGCACCTTGTAGGCTTTGGGCTCCACAGTGGGGCTGGGGGCTCTCCCCATAGCATCAGCACATGCACTTGGGGGAGGGGAACAATGTGGAGCAGCTGCCAATGACTTGTCTGTCCTTAGTGTTTCGGTGGCCTCCATCTTGTGCTCCGGTGCAATCATCCATTCCCTCCAGGCGGTTGCACCTGGCAATTCCCAACCTGGATCAGCATTATGTCTGGACTGTCATGTGTTATGAGGGCAAGTCCATCAGCGCCTGCAAGGCTATCTGCTCCTGCAAGTGAATTTGTATGCCCATCTAGTGGGATCACCCAGCACTCTAGCTGGTGACTCACGCCAACTGCCAGACGCTCCAGAGCATGGAGGGGGGGCATAACAGCTGTCAATGAGAGCAGTCCAGTGCATGGTGAACTCTCGAAGTCTGCACACCAGGGAGCTGTCTTACAGCATTCTGTGCTGTGCACCCTGCTTCAGGGGTTGTGGGGCAACCTACTGGAACTATTTGTAAGACAGGGGGCCTGATTGGGTGCTGCAGAGAGGAGCGGTCGGCACAGAGAAGGGTGCTAATTGGGTGCGCACTTGGTCAGCATCCTGTGCTGCTTGTGTTCTTGTGGCCATGGCAGCATGGGGGGTTGTGTTATTCAACGCATCATGGGTGCCAGTGGACTATGCTGCCATTTTTACCAGTGCAATTTTGCACTTATTCTGGGGGGCATTCCCACCCTGAAAACACTTTGGGGGCAGCCTGATTGGTGACACAGACCCTGGAACGTCTACATCGACGCTATCATAGGGGTTCACACCGACAGTCCACCACTGGGCTGCCATGGTGCCTCTGTACCAGTGGAACTGTGTGGAATAGTGGTGCTCAAGCCCTGCACTGGCATAAATGGCCCTTATGCCAACATCAATCCCCTCGAATTCTGCTGTAAGTTCTAGTCCTCAAAAAAAGGATCAGGGCTGTGTTCAGCATTAAAAAGGCAGTATGGTATCAATAGCATCAAGCCATCTTTACTCTAAAGCTGCAAATTATACTCACTGCTGATGTATGGTTCCTCTACCAACCAGTAACTGTGTCAATTAAAGAGCAGAAAGCAGGTTGCTCTCTATTAGAATCCTAGTGGAGCTAACTAAATGTGAATAATACCAAAAACTCTGTATTTCTAGATTATCATAATATCCTCGTATTTATTTTCTCTTCATGGATGTCCCATTTTTTAAAACAGCAAAATATCCAATAATTAATGGCTCATGTTGTTTAAGTAGAAAAGTCATTGTTACAAAACTCCAGTTGCTTTTAATCAAGGAAGACTACAAAGGCAGTAAAATTGAAAGGCAAACATCTGAATTTTAAGAGAAATCAATAAAAGATATACAATAAAATGCTGCAACTGATTTAAGATTATTTACATTTAAACAGTTAAAAATGATAAAACTATTTCATTAGCTTTAAGGAAATCAAAACCTAGTTCATGTTGATCATGTTAATCTTATAAAATCTTAGGGGAAAAATAGTTCTACTAAAACAGGTATCAGTGCAACAAACAAAATCATACAATTCATGAAGAACAATGCTTGCCTTTAACCTTTTACAATAATAAGAACATAGGAAAATTAAGTTCAAAGAATATTGTTATAAGCTGTAAACAGCAACATTACAAACATATTACTTATAGTATTGCTAAATATATTTTGAAAATTACAGAGGATAATCTCCTGTAACAGGCAATTTGTTATCCCTTTCATTAAGACAAGATGTGAGTCAAAAACACCATCAAACTCCATTAAATGCACATCCATTTTTCTCTGTAAAGATCACTTAAGAGAGCAAAGAAACTATCCAGTTGAAAATATTCCCTGCTGTTATCACACAACCATTAGCTGGATCAAATAATTTCCATAAATTGTTTATTGCTGGTAAAGTGATGTCAAATGGAATCTGCCAAAAGGAGAAAAAAACCCACCATGAGCTAAGCAAAACAAATTATTTTAACAGAATGAGAAATGTAAATGTGTAATGCTGCAGGTACAGTCCCAAGACAGGCCCTGTGAGGAATATTGTCATTGGTCAGCAGTTTAAACAAGAGGGAGAGACTACTGCTCTGTGCGCATGAAAGAGCTTAGAAGGAAAGACCAACAGGCTGTCAGGAGGGTATCAGTGGCAAGCAGGGCCTGAGAAGGACAACAGCAACGCAGTTACCACCACAGCATGAGCGATGATTCCTCTGGAAGCCTACCCTACCTGCACTGGGGACTAGAGCGCACAGCTTGGGAAGAGTCAGAAACTATCCAATATGCAACATTATCTACTTTGTCCCTACTTCAGGGTCAGAAAAGGGATATTTACTTTCTCCAAGAAATAATGCTGAGGAAAAAGAGGATATTGTGAAGTTAGCAATTATTGTGGCAAAACCATTAGGGATGTGTTTGAGTCTAGTAAGGAAAGGAAATGTCAGTTTTAAAAAGTTTTAGGGGAAAATTTAAAAAGCATCATCCCAGAATATTTACTGAAATAACATATCAAATTTGCACCTTTAACATCACTTATTTTATTTCCTACTCCTTGCCTAAGGAAGGGCAGTAATATTGCAGGCAATAAAGAAATGGAGTAAATAATCATGCCAATACAAATATTTTTGTAACTTTTGGATGTAGATGTATGTATTAATAAAAACTAATGATAAAGAAAAACATGATGTAGAATCATAGAGTTGGAAGAGGCCATACAAGCCATCTAGTCCAACCACTGCTCAATGCAGGATCAGCCTACAGTGTCCCTGACAAGTATTTGTCCAGACGCTACTTAAAGACTGCCAGTGAGGGGGAGTTCACCACCTCCCTAGGCAGCCGATTCCACTGTTCCACAACTCTTACTATAAAAAAGTTTTTCCTAATATCCAGCCAGCACTTTCCTGCCCTTAATTTAAACCCACTGTTGCGAGTCCTATCCTCTGCTGCCAACAGGAACAGCTCCCTGCCCGCCTCAAAGTGACAGCCCTCCAGATACTTAAAGAGAGCAATCATGTTGCCCCTCAACCTCCTCTTCTCCAGACTAAACATTCCTAAGTTCCTCAGCCTCTCCTCATAGGGCTTGGTCTCCAGGCCCCCCGATCATCCTCATCGCTCTTCTCTGCACCACTCCATGTAAGATGTATACAATTTGGTAAAATAGTTTTTGTTGTTGTTCAGTCGCACACTCTTCGCAACCCCATGGACCACATTACGCCAGGCCCTCTTGTCTTCCATTGTGCTCCGGAGTTTGCTTAATGTCTTGTTCGTTGCCTCGATAACACTGTCTAACCATCTCATCCTTTGCCATCCCCTTCTTCTTTGACCTTCAATCTTTCCCAGCATCAGGGTCTTCTCCAGTGAGGTTTTTTTAAATTATCTCAATAACTTACCTCACTAATTGGAGTTGGTTGATTTGGACCAATGGACAACAAGGATTTGATTTCTGATAAACACTGCCTGACCATTTCCTGAATGTATCAAAGGAAGAGAACAAATGCAATTATTATATGATTTTAAAATACCGGATTGCAAAGATTCTTATTTGTGTTCTGACATAATTAAAAGTGCCCGTGTACTAACCCCTAGCTGCTGAAGATAGTCCCACGAGTCCTGCCATACCACTGCAGCCCTTTCCCCCTGCCATTCCAGTTGCACAGCCTTGGCATATCTCATCCTAGCCTTTTGCATCATGGTGCTGCACTTTCAGACTAGGATATGATTAGTCAGTGAATACGGAAAATGTGTATAAAATTCCCAGTGACCTAAAACAGCTTCAAAAAGTAGTGCTATTTCCATTTAAACCTACTGTACTATATGACTAGTTGATTTGGTATTTCAAGTCATTCAAAATATAGCTTTTCAGTAATGAAAACAGTTAGCTATTGTCTGTGCTGTCATAATATCCATCAGGAGAAATGACAGCATGTGCATCATTAATCATTTATTATAATAGATACAGAGGAACAACTGTCACCTGATAAAGGTCTCCTACTTTGAAAATAAACGTCTGCTTGCCTTGGCATTCATCAAGCAACAGCTATGCAGTAGCAATACTGCACATCACAGAAAGGTCTGGGCTGTCTCTTGATTTCTTTGGCGACAAAACTTTATTCAGGCTTGTTAATAAGACTAGGAAAATGGGGCTGACAAAAAAATTAAAATAAGAAATTCTAGGCTGCTTCTATGCCATATTTCTGTTTTTAGAAACCAGTGACCATCTCATACCAAGACGGGCAAACAGTTATTGAATGCATTGCAAAATAATAACAGATTTGAATTTAGGTTGATCAGGGAACTGTAGATGAAAAACATACACTCCTGTCTTGGTCTGCATACAGCTGCCCACAGCCCCAGCTTGATCTGGACACAAAGACCAGTACCTCCAGTCTATCAAAGAGTACTGCAGCTAGCATTTCTGTCTCAATCTACTTTTTTATCCCACTCTGTATTTTTAATATGATACTAATGGTGGCTACATACTGAACAAATAACTATACTTTTGTACAGGATACTTTTTATTGAATCTGAAGAGGATAAGCATATCAGGAAAATTTTGTTAGTTTTCAAGTAGTTCTGTTTTCTAGCCACCATGAGACAAATCTGCAGGCAAATTCAGAAGAGAAATGTTTATTTATTAAATTATTTATATCCCCCCTTTCCCTTGTGGCTCAAGGCAGCTTACAATTTTAAATTAAACCATCCATAATGCAATAAAATCCAATTACCCATGCATCCCCAGTCCAAGAAAATGCCTGCAGCTTAAATCCTACTCAAAGCCCTAGCAAATATAACAGACTTACAGCACTTTTAAGGACGGTGCCCTCCCCCCTCTTCCGGAAGCCCAGTCTTGAGCAAAGTCAAAGCTAAGGGAAACATGAGGGTAAAGGACACTGCCAGGGTTAACAGTCCACAGGAAGTTATGGTCCAGGAGCATCCCTGAGAAAGAAGGACTCTAGCAAAGTAGGGCAATCTGTACTGCACATGCCAACAAATACAAAAGGTAGGAGTAAGTAAGCAAATACAAGATTCTTAAGGTTCTTAAGAGTGGCTAATTGTGCCTTGAAGCAGATAAAAGTTGTCACGTGTGGGGTTTTAGGTCTCTTCCCAACTTTCAAGTTCACTAAGACAAAAATAAATGCCAAATATTATATCTAAGGAATGTCAATTATGAAAAATTATGTACCTCAGTTTTTTTATCAATCACCACTCTTTCAATAGTACTACGGGATTCTGGTGACAGAAAACTGTGTGTTTCGATTATCAGACGAGAACTCACGGTTGAGTGCATTAACATTTCAATTTTTTGTTTCAGATTGGACAATTTTTCACGCACAGCAACAACACTAAAATAATAGAATACTGTTAGTAGAATGATATTTTGAATATTATAGTAAAATTAATTCACTGAGTAATAACATCAGACTGAATGGGCTTTTCCTTTTTCATTGCTTTCCGTATTAGGAAGGCTTCCTTAAGACCTCTTCACAAGCAAGCTGCTGTTCCATGGGTTGTCCATGGTGCTGGAGTAACATTTAAATCTCACAAGAACATAAGCAAACCTCTCCTATTTATAATTATTTCTTTATTCCAATGTAGGATGTTAAGATTCTACTATCTTTTTTAATACCACACTTTTGTCTTTCAATTTAGATTAGGTTTCTCATTAGAAAATCTCTGGACATTTCCATAGAAGGGCTCTTGTACTGGAATTGCAATATTCCTTCATCTGGTTTTCTAGTAATTCATCCACTCTAGCCTCATAGATGCTACCATTACATTATTATTTCACAATTAGATTTTTGTTGTTGTTCAGTCGCACAGTTGAGTCTGACTCTTCACGACCCCATGGACCAGATCACGCCAGGCCCTCCTGTCTTCCGCCGTCCTCCGAAGTTGGCTCAATTTCATGTTCGTTGCATCTGTGACACTGTCTAACCATCTCATCCTTTGCCGTCCCCGTCTTTTTTGACCTTCAATCTGTCCCAGCATCAGGGTCTTCTCCAGTGAGTGCTCCCTTCTCATTTGGTAGCCAAAGTATTTGAGCTTCAGTTTCATTATCTGGCCTTCCAGGGAACAGTCAGGGTTGATTTCTTTTAGGATTGACTGATTTGTTCTTCTTGCAGTCCAAGGGACTCTCAAGAGTCTTCTCCAGCACCATAGTTCAAAAGAATCTATTCTTCGGCGCTCAGCCTTCCTTATAGTCCAACTCTCGCAGCCATACATGACTACTGGGAATACCATTGCTTTGACCATGCAGACTTTTGTTGGCAGGGTGATGTCTCTACTTTTTATCATGTCTTTCAGCATTTCTGACACCTAATACCAACCCTAATTATTTTGTTCTGTTTTATTTCATGTCACTACTTCTCAATTTTGCCAACTGTACAGCAGTTACAATTAATCTCCCTTTTGGGTCCCTCCTAGCTGAGATCAAAGGAGCTATATATGAAATAGAGTCTTACATTTTGTCTATTGTGTCCACCCCAGCCATCTCATCCAATTGAAGCCCTTTATACCCTCAAAAGACCAAGCCTAAAAGTCAGAAAGTGGTAGATACAACAACATGATGGGGATGTGGGAGATGGGGGGAACCAGCAACCCCCTTGGAAATGTGAAAGTGCTTTCCACGTGCACATGGGGCTCTTTGAATGCTAGCCATTGTTTTCAAATACTAATAAACAGTTATTACATCTATGCAGTTTGACCAATATATGATATAACTGTTCACAGCAAGCATATAAAAATGTTCTATCATGTACAATGAAACATGCAACAAAGGCTGAAAAGACTGGACAAAGTTACCTATTCAGTGGAATCCACAAATAACCACAAAACACATTGGCTGAATGGAAACTTGTGATGCTGATAATTTTGACTGGTTTTACATTGTAAGCATAAACAAACAAAACCTAAAGGAAAAAAGAAAATATACACAATATAATACACTTGTCGATTCAAGGGTAATATCTTTTTTTTGCCCATCCCATTTTGATATGCTGCAATTACAGTACTAAAAGAAATTAATTTGTCAAAGCATTACTCAAATATATAAACAGCTGCTAGTCTGCTGCATTACTAGTTGCACAACTGAATGTGGAAAGCAGTATCTAAGAGCCAACAACATCCAGGCCTTCTCCATTGCCACTGGAAGTCTTTGGACCCTGTTGTTTCCTTGCTGGCCTCTGGCACATCTAGAGTCATTGATAGGGGAGGGAGAGCTTTCCGTAGGACTGTATCTGGATTGTCAAGGGACCAGTCCTGAGAATCTCATTTTAGTTCATTATACCATTGAACAGCACTACTCCAAAAACACCTGATTTCATAAACATGGAACACATCTTTCAAGTCAGTGATATTTAATAATATATGTGGATCCTATGTAAAACAAGGTTGCACTTACGTGTAACCACTGTTCATCGAGTGGTATTCTGTGCAGGCACCCATGGGACTGCGCTTCCACAGGCCAGCCGTGGATAGGAGCTAGCAAGTTATATCAAGAAGTTTCTAGAGTCCCAGGAGTGCTCTCCCTCCCTTCAATGTGCCTCGCAGGACCATTGTTAGGATTTTATTTTTCAGGGGGCTTTCAAATTTTTCAAGGGGCTGCCAAAGGAAAGGAGGTAGAGAGGGTAGCAGAAGACCCATCTTAGGACTCATCCTGAGCCGGCTCTGGTCCATACTGCTAAAAGAAAAACGTTTTAAGCTTTCATATGGTGCCTGTTTTTCATGGCTGAAATGGAACTGGAATACCGAACATGGCACTTGACAACGCTCCAGCCCCGCTGCACCAGTTCAGGCTTCCAAACTTCCCAACATTCGATGCCCTCCCTCCTTACTCTGTCGCCTACTGTTAATCACCATGATGCAGAAATGGTCAAAGGAGAGCTGTGTACCCTGGTCCGAACTCAGAGGGGAAAAGCCACATGTGGGAAAATGTTTAACCCCACCTCGCCCGTGGCTGAACACACATTGGAGACAGCCGGGCAACACTGCCATTCTCTGTCAGTCAACAGCTCTGCCTCTCTGTACCCAGCCCTGCAAGGCAGGCTTGGGCACTTTGCTTTAACCCTTCACCTCCTGCTGCTTCGGTGGTTTCCCTCCCCTCCCCTCCCCTCCCCACCTGCCCAGTGGCTTGGCCGCAGCGGCAGCAAAGCTGCCTGGTGCCCTGTTGTGCCCAGGGTGGGTGATGTAAAGGGCAGCAGCAATGAGGCGATGGAGCACTCCTCCCCTTCCCAGCCTAGCAGCAGAAGGAGGAGGGTGCCCTTTTGAGGGAGGGGTATGTGAGCTAAGTGCCATAGCAGAGGGAACCACACTCTCCTGGACAAGTATGGGGCTAAGAGAATGCAGGGTGTTCTGTCTGTCTGTCTGAAATTTAGCCACTACTTTGCGGAGGAGTCCAAATGGAGGAAACATCTAATAAAGGTGGCCATGCCACTGGAACGCATCTCCCGTTGAACTGTGGTCTGTTGCTGCCCTGGAGCAAAAAAGGTTGCATTTGGCATTGGCCGCAGAAGCAAACAGGTCTATTTCCAGGAAACCCCACTTCTGGAAGTTGGGAATGAGATGCTTGATTTTGATTAATCACTCGTGGGACACAGAGACATCACTGCTCAAGATGTCTGCTGGAGTGCTGTGTATCCCTACTATATGAATTGCTGAGAGGTGGACATCATGTTCTATGGCCCAGTGCCAAATTTGTGATGCTTCTATGCATAGCTTGATGGATCCTGTGACCCCATTTGTTTATATAAAGTTTTGCCGTTGTGTTGTCTGTGTGAAACAAAAATAAAGGGACCGTGATGTAATTAGACTAACTGTAAAAAGGAAAACAACAAGCACCGTGTAGCAAATGATACTTGTACTATTACATCAATAAATAAATTGAAATGTTTTATACACTCATTGATTCAGGCCATTATTGAAACTTGCAGACATCAACATCTCCTATGTTTACATTTGTTTAAAGAATTAATAATGTTGCACACAAAGCAACTAGTGCTGACTAATAGCAGCGGATGGGTAAGTCACAACTTTCAGTGAACAAATACAAAAAGAATTGTTTCCAGACTGTGTTGAAGTATTACAGACTGATGATCGCTAATAACAGAAGTTTGCAGGCAGTGGAAACTGCGACTCTGAAGAAGACCTCATGAAATGGGCGGAAATCCAGATGCTTGTCAGTTGCTTGGATTTCTATGAGAAAGGTTTTTATCTGTATTTTACAGTTGGCGTCTGGAAACAATGCTTTTTGTATTTGTTCATTGAGAGGCGTGACTTACCCATCTGCTGTTTTCAGTCTGCACTAGCTTGTTTCTGTGCAACATTGTTAATTCTTTAAACAAATGTAAACATTGGAGATGTCGATGTATGCAAGTTTCAGTAACGGTCTGGCTTCCTGCATAGGAGGCTGTGCAGGTTGAATTTTGAAGACATCTTTGTCCAACGTTGGTGGAGATCCCTGGTGCCATCTTGACAGTGATGGAGTCTTTGGCACTGAGGAGAGTTCGGCATCAATTGGACTCAGGGATTGCTGGAGAGGGGGTGTCAACATTGGCCCTTTCAGAACTGTACGTCAGTCTCAAGATTGCTCCCGATGCCAGTGTCGCATGCGGAAAGCTTTCTGACCTCAAGGAGAAGTTGATAGTTGTGAAGGTGATATTGGGAATGGTCAGTACTGAGATGGCAGACCACAGAGAACATGCCAGCGACTTGTGGCATTTTTTAACTTCTTTCTCGCCTTTTTGGCAGGTGGCTCAGAGCTGGATTGCATTAGGGAAGCTGTCTTGGGTGGATGTATGGAACTCACTGAAGGAGCCCTTGTCACTGCTTCAGAACCTGCTTCGCCATTTTCTACAGTAAGTTGTGTGGCTCCCAACGCCTTTTCCCACAAAGCTGCCTTTAATCTTGCCACTCTTCCCTCCCTGGCCTTAGGAGTTAAGGTGGTGGCAGGCTGAGCACGAAGCCATATCATGGCCTTCTCCAAGGCACGAGACACAATCTGTGTTCATTATTTTGTGCCATTTTAGCACCACAGCCCTCATATTTTTCAAAAAGTGCCATCTCACCAAAAAGTTGAGGTGATTTTTAGCCAGTCAGTCTGGGACATCATATGTCCAGCTTGCTGAAAGCTGTCGTCTCCTTACAGTGGCAAGAAGAGAACTGAGGGAGAAGTGCTCCCCCCAAGATCATGTGACCATTTGGGCAGGAAACTATATGAGGCACGCTGAAGGGAGAGGAGCACTCCTGGGACTCAAGAAACTTGTTGATATAGCTTACTAGCTCCTCTCCGTGGCCAGTCTGTGGAAGCACAGTCCCATGGGTGCCTGCACAGAAGTCACGAAGATGAACTGATTAACTCCAATGAGATCAAAAAATATTGTAACACAAATTCATCATTCTTTGGTTCTACATAAACCGTATTTCTTCAAATGCATTCCACATAGTAAGCCAGCTGTAGTCTTCATATCCTTTGCTTGCTTAGAAATGGCTGTCGTCTTAAGATCAGGGCATGCTTTGAACCAGTTGTTTTTCCTTATACTGATTTCTCTATATGCATAATCCTTGTGATATGAAACACAGTGACAGTAGGAAATTATTACATCACGACACTTTTGCACATTCTCTATTACATCAGAAAGTTTTCTGTGAAGCTGTGTAGTGACATTGTCCACCAAGCCACAATAGAAAGGGCAAATCTAAGGGAGGCCATCAATAATTTATACCAGCACACTTGTGCAAGGCATTTGTAATTGTCTTATTTCAAAGGTACAGAGTTCCTTGATTACTGATGTGCTTCTGAATGCCACCAACACCCAGTTTTACAGAACCTGTGCAATCAATGCAAATTAATCTTGACTATCTATGACAAAATGTGTTACGTACTGGGTTCTCCGCATAGAAACGACAGACGCTCAGTGATTATCAGCTCATAGTTTACTGTACACAGCACAACAACACCAGCCAGAGCGGCCAACTATATACAACCCCCGGGGGCACACCCACCAGTCCCACTGGAAGGTTTGAACTTCCCGCCACAGTTCTGATAGGGGCTAGTTGGAAAGCTCAGGATCCTAGTCCCTATTGTCTAAAGGAACCAAGCTCGGGTTGCATACCACTAGCGCCTAGTGGTGGTCAGCGGACATAACACCCCTCCCCCCATAGTTCGAGCCCAGCCTAGGTGACATAGTCCTTGAGATAGGCTGGGGGTCGGTGCTCTCACGTGGAATGCCTTGGAGCAGGAACCAGGGCATCGGGAGCCCTGGTGGGTGGCAGTACTGGAGGGCTCAGCTGCGGAGGTGGAGGAGCCTCTTCTGGCACCGGTGCAGAGGCAGGCAGCCTGTAAGCTTGCTCCTGCGAAGTGCCATCTGCGGTTTCGACATTGGGGCCGTCTGGCAGGTCCGCGTCAAGGTTACCTGGAGTGGGGCATTCTCTGAAGATGGGAGCAGACGCCATCTCAGCTGGTCGACATTCCACCGCAGGACCTGGCCATCTTTCATGGAAACCTCGTAGGACACGGGACCAGTGACATGTAGTATTCGGCCAGCTAGCCATGGGAAGCCTTGACCATAGTTCCGGATGTATATGGCATCCTCCGGAAAGAACCCATGCAGCACCTCCCTCTGCTCGGACAGACTGCACGACTCCGGGGCCCTATCAGGGTGTAGTCAGTCCAAGAGAATTGCGGGCCGCCGGCCCATCAGGAGTTCTGCCGGACATTGGCCGTTGATCAGGTTGGGAGTGATCCACTGCACCAAGAGGAAACGGGCCAGACGGAACTCCAAGTCCCCCTCCGTCAGGCGACTCAAGGCTTCTTTAGCGGTGTGCACCATCCGTTCTGTCTGTCCATTGGTGGCGGGGTGGAACGGGGCAGACATCATGTGTCTAATCAGGTTGCTGCGGAGGAACTCCTGGAACTCTATGGATGTGAACGCCGACCCGTTGTCCGAGATGATGCTGTCTGGCAGCCCGTGGGTCGCGAAGATCCGACGAAGGGCCCGGATACTGATCTTGGAGAAGGTGGCGAAGACAGGGCTGTTCTTCAGCCACTTCGAGTAGGAGTTGACCATGACCAGAAATAGCAGTCCATGGAATGGTCCGGCAAAATCGATGTGGAACCTTGACCACAGAGTCCTGGTGGACTCTCAAGTTTGTGTGGGTGTGTTCGGTGGAGACGGCCAGACGGTTTGGTACGTTTGGCAGCGCTTCACCCAAGCTTCACCATATGTAACTCCTGGCCAGGGCCTTCATGCGAACTATCCCCAGGTGGGCTTCATGTAGGGCCTTTAGGACATGATCACACAGGGCGCTGTGAACGACCACCCTGCCCCCATAGCAAGCATCCCTTAAGGGCGGACAACTCATCCCAGCATCTTGTGTAGGCCGGTAACTTGGGGCCTGCTGTGACCATGGGCCACCCCCTCACCACCCAGCCCAGAACTTGGGAGAGGATCGGGTCCCTGGCCGAGTGGCAAACAACGTCCCTGGCCTGAAGGGGAGACTCTGGGAGGTCCTCGACCTGCAGGACGTGGTGCGCCGGTGCTGGGTCGGCCTTGACTAATGGCAGGGGTAGGCAGCTAAGGGTGTCAGCATGACCCATAGCCTTCCCAGGTTGGTGCTCAAGGGTGTAATTGTAGCCGGACAAAAAAAAATGGACCACCGGAGGACCCATGGTGAGAGGACCTGTGGCATCTGACGGTCCACAGCGAAGAGGCCTAGAAGTGGGCAATGGTCCGTGGCGATGGTGAAGGGCCGGCCATAGATGAAGTCATGGATCTTCTTAACGCCTGCCACTATAGCTAGACCCTCGCGGTCGTTCTGGGTGTAGTTCCTCTCCACCACCGACAGTGTCCGGGAGTAGTACACGACGGGCACTTCCCACCCATCTGGGAGCCGGTGGGCAACACAGCACCGACGCCATAGGGGAAAGCATCACAAGCCAGAACCACTGGCAAGGATTCATCAAAATGCGCCAGGACTTTATTAGAGATTAGCAGCGCTTTGACCCCCTTGAAAGCGGCAGCCTGGTGGGGATTCCAAGTCCAAGGGGCTTGCTTATCCAGGAGGTGATGCAAGGGCTCAGCTACCGCCACCTTGTGGGGAAGGAAGACATGGTAGAAGTTCAAAAGGCCCAGGAACGCCTGGAGTTCCGCCTTGGATTGGGGCAGGGGAGCTTCCACGATGGCCTTTATTTTGTCCTGGGCCTTTATTTTGTCTTGACCCGGACCTGGATTTTAGGGGCTGAGGTCTGGCTGGGGAGTCTAAGTATCTGTGCCTCCAGTTCACTGGCAAGGAGGTAGAGCTCTTCCTGGGATGCGTCATCTTCATAGTGAGCGGTAGATCCACAGTCCTGCTGGGGTTGCGATGATGAGGCCCAGGACCCCCAGGAACAGCAGGCCCGGGCAATGTGGCCCTTGCAGCCACAGCTCCGGCATACCGTGTCCCTGAGCGACACATTTTTCGGTCGTGCTAGTCTTCACATTTGGCACATTTCTGTCGACCATACTCCTTGGCATGGTGCAGGTCCTGAGTCACATCTCCAGCCAGAATGCTGGATCCAATGTACCTCTTCCTCCACTTGGTCTATGGGTCAGCGCTGGTCCAGTGTGCGGTGGTCGATGCAACAGGGTGCGACCTCTCCCAAGCCACGGCGGTGGCAAGGGCTGATGCGAGGATGCATTTCTCGTCCTCCAGGATCCGCCGCTGGAGCTTCTCGTCGCTTAGCCCACATACCAGTCTGTCATGGAGGATTGTGTCGAGTTGGGCTCCGAAGGTGCACTCTGAGGCGAGCCAGCAGAGCTCAGCCAGGTACACCGCGATGGACTCACGCGATTGCTGTTGCTGGGAGTGGAAATCCATGTGGCACGCTATCTCCGATGGCTGGGGAACGAAGTTGTCCTGGAGCTTCTTAATGATGTCCTCGAATGTGGACTCGGACAGCTTGGTGGGAGCGAGCAAGTTGTGAGCCAGCTCCATGGCGGCAGGGCCGCAGGAGCTGATGAAGAGGCCCTTCTTCCTTCCTTCATTGGTGACCTCGTAAAATGCCAAGAGGGACTTGAGTCCCTCGACCCAGGCTTCCCAGTGATGAGGCTTGCTCAGGTCAAACGGATGGACTAGTCCCGCTCCCGGAGTGACTGCCATCATGCTGCGTGGTTGTGGCAGGGAAGCGGCTTGCGCGCCTTTGGTGCTCATCAGTTGGAGCAGCGGCAATTCCTGGTCTTCCTCTGGCGCCCCAGCAACCCGGCCTGCTCAACGAGATCCCACCTTCATCGCCATTGTTGCATACTGGGTTCGACGCGTAGAAACGACAGACGCTCAGTGATTATCAGCTCATAGTTTACTGTACACAACACAACAACAACAATACTGGCCAGAGCAGCCAACTATATACAATCCCAGGGGCACACCCACCAGTCCCATTGGAAGGTTTGAACTTCCCGCCACAGTTCTGATAGGTGCGAGTTGGAAAGCTTAGGCTCCTAGTCCCTATTGTCTAAAGGAACCAAGTTCGGGTTGCATACCGCTGGCACCTAGTGGCGGTCAGCAGACATAACACAATGGATGCTGATTCTCTCCCTGATACTATTAGACTATTGGATTCATCACCTCCAGCACAGTCTTCTCTAGCATTAGTTCTCAAAAGTCTTTGGCAATGGTCCCTCTCAGCTCTGCTATTTGAGATCCTTTAACTACAGGTATCAGGAACTGACTCTGTGACCTTCTGCAAGCAAACGTCTGCAAGCACTCAGCTAGGTCTCCCCTACAAAAACAGCAACAGTGTTACTACACAGGAACAGACCACAAATGTCAATGACCCTATCTACAATCTGATTTGTGATTATTCCTCATCTTATTTATTTATGAGTATTTACAATCTCATCTTTCTGCCTTCTCAGGCAGAAGTCAAATACAACATAAAATATACTAAAAATGCAGTCCAATTATACAGGAAGACAATTGCAGCTAGCCCTTCAAAAATCTTCCAGAACACAAAATAGCTTCAAGCTTGCTCAAAAAATTTGCAGGGATGGTGCCAATTTCACCTCCAGGAGAGAGTCCACAGCTTGAGGCAGCCAAAAGGGTCCTCCCACAAGTAAATGTCAACCTCACTAAGGATAAGATGGGTTCATCAACCTCAAGGTTCATGCAGATTGATATACATGGAGGTGATCCTTCAAGTACCTAAGAAGCAGTATCAGCATATGGATATGAAGAGATTAACTGGAATATCTTACATCATAGCTGAATTAATGTAGAATTTAAAAAAAGAACAGTTCAATTTTAATGTTTGATCTGTCTAGAAAATAATACAGCATCCAGCACCCCCTGCATTTAAATTTTACTGCATACGCACATCATTCAAAAGTAAGTATCATGGCAGTTCTTATTTTGAACGCATACCATAGTCTCTCCTTTTGATGATTTCTCCACAGATGGCAGATACCACTGCACACAAAGTTCTTTGAGAGAAGTACAAGTTGCTTTGTTGTCAAAATAACCTTCGGTCTGAGAGCTGCAAGAACTAGAGGAAGATACTTCTGCGGCTGATGGTTTATAGGACATTCCAATAGATTCTGAAGTTGACTGAAAAAAATATAGCCAAAGCATAGCATTATAATTTTAAAAATGCTTTTCCCTAACATAAACCATATATGACCCCTATGCATTTGTTCAGTGCATCTGCACCTCACTGCAGAGACATGTTATGAAATTAGCTTATTATATAAATCAGGTAAAACTGGAGCTCTTTTCCCTTTTGCTTGGGAAAAGTTATTAAACACAACGAGGGAGTTTTTCATGAAAAAAATGAATAACTAATTATAAGCAGCATAATAATGAAATTTCCAATCCTGTTTTTCAGGGTTCCTTTAAAAAATTGGTAACTAAGGCTGCAATCCTAAATACACTTATTAGGGAGTAAGCCCCATTAAGCTGAGTGGAACTTATTTCTGAGTAAACATGCCTAAGGGTTGCATTGTAACACACTAGATGGAAACCCAAAGCCGACTTTCCAAAATCATTAACAATTTCAGAAAGGAATTGTTTTAAATATGTTTTTCCTTTCTTCTCATGGTCAGGAGAACACACGGAATACCATTTCCTTTTGAATGATGGTCAATTTCTGATGGCACTTGAAGGGTGAAGGCAAGTTTTGAACACTTAAAATATGTACATAGTAAGCATTAACATCAGCATTACCATCTCAAGATAAATGGACAGCGGACAGTAAAAAGGCATTGTAAAATAACTAGTTCAATGCTTCTTGGAAGCAGTGGGATGAAATGAATAAACATTTTGGACCTACTGCCATTATGTTCCAGCCGTCCTTAACCTCAAAGTCCTCAAAGGAACCGTGACTGTGTGGTTTAGTAAATAAACCATTATGAGTACATAAGAACAACAGAGAAACATTAGTACTGCAAAACTCTTTGCTGCAGAGGACTGTTAGTAGAATCATCTGGAGCAAGCTAATCTTTACGCCTCCGTGCTGTGCAAAATAAAACCTTCAAGAATGTCAGTATTTTTAAATTTGATTTGCACTACATAATGTATCAAATAATCCCAAAACCTGTAATTTACAATGCTAGTTCTACATGGTTCAAGTTTTTATCATTGTTGCAGACAATATATGTCTTCTAAATAAAACAATATCTGAAATGTAACTATGGAGACATTGGATACTGATCTGGAATATAGTTGAATCTGTATTAATAAAGCTTTCTGGAACTAGAGAGTTGCACAGGGAACTTCTATACGTGACAGAAAGGGGAGTTATGGGGTCACCTAAAAATGAAGAGAACTTGTGGGGGCAATCTTTAATTCAGTTTAGGAGCTGTGACAGAAGGGGGGGAGGTCCCATTATATGTGCAGAAGCACTTTAGACTGAAGGAGACATATGAATTCCATCCTGTGTAGAGTCCTATGTTCTCTCCACAGAAATTTACGGCTTTCTGATTTATTTGGAAGTTTTTCAAATTATTTGCACAGAATATAATGAGCCCACAGGATATCATGGAACGCTTGCTGTGGTAGTAACAACAGCTTAAATAAACCCTCAATATTTGATTAGCTGATTATCTTCTTTGTATGTCTGTGCAATAGTTTCACAATTCAGGAAAACAATAAGAGCATTACATAATGGACAAGGATTAATTTATTTTATCCCTAAAATATTTTAGTACATATGCTAGACTGCAGAACTTTGTCATTTAGCATAAAAAACTTGTAAAAAGTCCTTGTTACAAATTCACAATAAAATAATACTTTATTATTCATTGGGCTAGCCATTTAGTTTGCAAATAGGAACCGCCTGTTTCAGCTCAATTCTTCATATTCTGTGTACTATCATAGAATGAAATAAACTGTAACATGAACAAGTGAGTCTATTTTTAACACATCTTTAATCATAGGGTTATCTGAAAGTTTTAGGATTCTTTGGCAATACATGAAATGCTTTGAAATATAAGTGGATCTGTGGTTATTTTATGTATATAACAATGATCCCTTCACAATCCACACAATCCATTTGTTTGCTACAGAGAAAGCAAGTTTAAACACCAAGTTATAGAAGGATGTCTTGAGGGCAACTTATCAGCAGTGCTTACAGAGTACAAATGGCACAGGAACCTCCAGTAGTTCTTGATGTCTTTAAAAGTTATCTCCATGGAAATGGCGTGCAAGAGGATTTACTGCCAACATTCCGCCAAATATATCCTAGACTCAGTTGCAAAAACCTGGAGACATGGCTGAAAGAAGGATATAGGGATGGGAGGAGAGGACAGAATTTCCTTCTCCTTTTGTTGTATCCCTCACCTGCTGGCAGGCACTGGTGACCATTCCACAGTGTCTCCGATATATCTGCCCTGGTAAGTTACACTTCATTAAACAGTATTGGTGTATTTTTTTCCTATTTTGGTCTAGTGTACTGCATTTGTACTTACAGTGAATCAGTGAATCCCTAAACTACATTTTTTAGTAACATCAAGATTTTCTACTAGCATCCTACTTTAAAAAGAACTTTGGGCAGCTTACATATAAAATAATATTAAACGGGTAAAATAATAATATATTATCAAAGTACAATAAAACAAAATGAGTAAAATAGGTAATATTAAAATAGAAGCTATTAAAATCCCTCCCATGGATTGTCCAAGTCCAGTTTACAGATTATATGCATCCATCACTCATGACAAGTATAGATTAGTCACAGTACATTTTCCAACTTTTAGCTGTACACGTAAACATCTCTGGTGTACAACTAATAAATGTATTTGTGAAGTAGCCTTCACTGGCACTGGATGTGAACTTCAAATTACACTACTAAAATGGAATTACAGTGGAGAAGTGCTCACAGAAGAAAGCACACTGATCCTAGTTCAGCAGTTCGAGACCCGAGTGTGCCGCATGACGGAGTGAGCTCCCGTCTCTAGTTCAAGCTCCTGCCAACCTAGCAGTTCGAAAGCAAGAAATTGCAAGTAGGATCTGGCAGGAGAGATGGAAGTAATCTTTGCATGCTTGTGGGTCTTTCTCTGCAATGTTGCTGCTGCCACAGATAACTAGTTTATTCCTTGTGCCAAATTAAATTAAAGCCAATTGCTCAATTTCATGTCCATTGCATCAATAACACTTTCATCGTTTGCCATCCCTTTCTTCTGTTACCTTCAATCTTTCCCAGCATCAGAGTCTTCTCCAGTGAGTGTTCCTTTCTCATTTGGTGGCCAAAGTATTTCAGCTTCAGCTTCAGTATCTGGCCTTCTAGGGAACAGTCAGGGTTGATTTCCTTTAGGATTGACTGATTTGATCTCCTTGCAGTCCAAGGGACTTTCAAGAGTTTTCTCAAGCACCATAATTTGAAAGCATCTATTCTTCGGTGCTTGGCCTTCCTTATGGTCCAACACTTGCAGCCATACATTACTACTGGGAATATCATCGCTTTGACTATATGGACTTTTGTTGGTAGGGTGATGTCTCTACCTTTTATTATGCTATCTAGGTTTGCCATAGCTTTCCTCCCAAGGACCAGGCATCTCTTAATTTCATGGCTGCAGTCACCATCTGCAGTGAACTTGGATCCCAGGAATGTGAATTCTGTCACTGCTTCCAAAACTTCCCCTTCTATTTGCCAAGGAGTGATGGGGTTGGATGCCATAATCTTAGTTTTTGGGATACTGAGTTTCAACAACAACAAATTAAGATGGCGGCGCGGCGGGGTGCTTGTGCTTGCACGCCCGCCGAGGAAATCTAAAAAATGTGCCGAGAAACAGCGTTTGGGCACTCCAGAGCTGGCCGAATTAAAACTCTGGGCTCCCGGTATATGGGGGAAAGCTGCAAATCCCCTTACCTGTGTCAGCGCCAGCGCCAGTGCCGCAGGGTTTGGCGGCGGAGCCTCCCTGGGCCGGCGGCCTGCAGAGCTTGTGGAGCGTGGTGCCGTGTGGCGGGCCCTCGGGCAGAGATACGGCCGGCGGCGGGCCCCTGACGGCCGGCGCCTCTGGGGCGCGGCTCGTTGAGAGCAGGCCCTGAGTGGCGGAGCCTCAGGCGCGGCCGGGGGAGGCGACGGCGGAGCCCCTGGGTGACCTCGGAGCAGCGGTGGGCCCTCGGGCGAAGACGCGGCCGGCTGGCGCTTCGAGGGGGGCGCGGCTGCCGAGAGCGGCCTCCGGGCGGCGGAACCTCGGACGCGACTAGCAGGGCGGCGGAGCTCCCGGGTGGTCTCGGGCTCGGAGCTTGGAGCGGCGGCCGGTGTTGGGGCTTGTCAGGAGAGGGCCCAGGGTGACGGGACCCGGGCCGACGCGGAGGTGTGACTGGTGGAGGCGGCGGCGGAGCTCCTGGACGGCCCTGGACCAGAAACAGCGGAGGGAGACACCTTGGGACCGCCGGGAGTGTGAAGCGGCTGCCGAGGTGTTTGGCGGCCCTGGCGGTGGTGAGCTCGCGGCGAGGTGGAGCGAGCCAGTGGAGTCGCCCGGAACAGCAGCCCCCCCCCGACCTTGAGACCCCTGGCCGGCTGATGGTCGATAGGGAACTGCCGCTGCTTTGGGGCGCAGTCGAAGGAGGTGGATGGGGTAGGATGACCAGCAGAGCCCCTTGGGAGGTCGGGAGACGAAGTCAGGTCCACAGTTTTGTGGCAGGGGAACGGCCCTGCGTGAGAGGGCGAAGACCGGTGGAGTGGCCCTGTGAGAGAGGGCGAAGACTGGTGGAGTGGCCCTGTGAGAGAGGGCGAAGGACGAGGGAGTCCCCCTCCCCCTCCCCCTACTGCCCTGTGGTGTGGTATGGCCCTGTGAGAGAGGGTCAAGATCGAGAGAGCCCCCTACTGTACTGTACTGTTCTGTGGTGGTGGAGTGGTCCTGTGAGAGAGGACGAAGACTGACAGAGCCTGAATACCAGTGTGTGGAGTGCCTGGGAACGTTTAGACTTATAAGATCTGTGATTTAGGGAGAGAAGTGGGGTTGTTGTTTGAAATTAATGAGTGGGCCCGATAGTGATTCCTGTTGTACTGGATGGAAGAATGGATGTGAATGGATGGTGGGACGCTAGTGCCAGTAGCTAAATGAGAATGATTGGTTGTGATTGCCAGGTTTTTTAGGAATGAA